CAGTGGCAGGAAAGCTAGTTCAAAGTGGGGTTCTTCAGAAAAGAAGCTCAGAAGATGCAAACCCAGGGCTGGTTGCATCATTTTGGAATACAACACTTGCATAAAGTATTTTTTTTTCACAGAAAATATGCAGAGAAAATGAGTTTCCAGAGTGATCTGATAAATGACAGGAAATGGCTCACAGCTTCTCTTTTGTTGTTCCAAAGGGGAAAAAGAGGAGAAAGGAACTGTTTGTTATATCTGGTCAAAATCCACATGCAGCCTTGCATAACTGATCCTCTGCTCTGGCTGGTAAGATTAGCAGGCTTGCAGCCACATCCCTCTCATCTCTTGTGAAACTCCAGCCTCTGAATATCGTTTATTTATTGTCAGTAGTTAACAGCAGAGAGGGAAAAGGGGCAGCTTAAGATGATAGTGACACTAACAAAGCATGTGATGTATCTTCTGTGAAGAATTACCTGATTACTGATAAATCCTGCAGTTGCATCCATTTGGTGAAACTGTGATTTTATGAAGGAGAAGGGAAATTTGCTGTTGTTGTTTTCCTGAGCTTCTGTGGCAGTGCCCTCTTGAGAGAGGTTAAGTGCCAGTGAGGGCAGGACTCTGAAAAGAACCACTTGCTGTCCAGTTGTGCTAATGCTGCTTATTTTTTTAAGCTACCCTTGGGAAGATAAACATCTCCCACAAAAAGTTTTTGTTAAATAAATAAGCAAGCTGTTCAACCTGACTACTAGCTCGTTATTCCATACTGATTGTATTCATCCTTGAGTAGTTATCCTGGGTTGGTTTTCCCACTGTTCATCCAGCCTCTCTTAGAATCACAGTAATACAAGGCATCCTTCATCAGTTTCCTGATTCCAGGTCCCTCTTCTCTTACCCCAGCAAATAAACTGGACTTGCTTAACTTGTATTAGAATTTCTACAAAGATTTATCCAAGTCTTTATGGAAATTTTCCCAAAACTGGTCAACACTTTTTAACTGCCTGAATGTGGTGCATAAAATGTCCTCTTGGATGTGCCAGACTAAGAGCTGAGCCCAGTTTCTTGTGTGTGTCAGGGTTACCATGAGAGCTGAGGGTGCAGTAGAGATGTACCTGGATGAGCCTTCATCAGTGAGTTTAGCCATTAGCACATTTAGTAAGCTCCAATGTATCTCCTCAAATCCGTATCCAGGTATTTAGTACCTGTGTGATAGTGCAGCAGATACTTTAGCTTGGTTAAACAGGCAATACAGAAGGAGTAAATAAGCACAGTTCAGGCAGCAGCCTTGTGGATTTTTCCCTAGTGGGTAACTTTCAGGTTTTGATCACCATAGATTCTTCCAGTTCCCAGTTTTTCTAACTTGCCTTCAATTCAGCAGAGTTCTTTGGCCCATTCCCAACTCTAGTTTTGTGAATGGGCCCAGTGAAATAAAAGGGACCACTCGAGAAACATGTATCTTGCTGAATCAGATTGGCACTAGTTTCTTTCTCCATCTGGAGCCCAAAAATAATGTTCTAAACATACTATAGAATTTAGTAACAGAGTCTTTTTAACACTATGTACATATCTGTGTTTCCTGTTTTGAAAACTCCTCAACTGCTGTTCCTTTTTACCTATTACCTAAATAAACAAGAAATAATAGGACTTCTGAATAGTAGAATTTTCATAGTAATTGTACGTAATTCCTATATTCCTTTCCTTCTGAATGTGAAGTTCTCAGGTTTAATGGCAATTAAAGCAGTTGACATCTGAAGAACAGAGGGGGTGATCCCCCTGTGCCTGGGTCTGGGTGAGTTACAGCAGTTACTCGTTAGTGAGTAGTGCAGGGGCAGCTCAGGTGTGCCTTGCACACATGCAACCTCTGACTTTTTCAAGCTCCACATCTGCCCACCAAATGAAATCCCTGCAGCTAGTGGTATTGATCGTGCTGAATTCCACTCTGTTCATGAGCCTTTTAACTTCTTTCACAAAAGAAGAACGGCCTCTGTGCACGGAGTGAAAGCTACTGGATGTGCTGAGGTAGGAAGAGCCTTCTGGCCAGCCACAGGCTGGAAAGCTGCAGTGTGCTGGCTTTCCCACAAAGCTAAGCAATCACAGTGGTCCTTTTTATTTTGATTTGCCCTACATGGTAATCCTCTTTGGCCAAATAAGATCCTTATCCTACTGTCTGCAGTTTTTTTGCTCAAATTTTTATAATTACATTGGGGTCACCATTTATATAGTCTTACTTTGTTTCCTTCCAACTGTATTGAAGTACTTTTTAATATATTTTAAGGTGAACCTAGTGATTACTGCTGACAGTACCTAAAAGTTGATCTGACACTCCAGCTTGTGCTATATTCCTTCACCAAACACAACAAGCCCTAAGGAGAGGTACTGCTTTCCCTCCTCGTGCAGGTTTGGGGTCCTGCTGTTGATTCTTTGGCACCTCTGTTTTCTGAAGGAGGCCTAAGACTTGGTGCTAAGTATCCTGCATGCTTTACTCTCTGCTTTGTGGTATTGATGTGTTTTGTTCCCATTTCTTGCAAATGTGTACGACATTTAGGATTTTGACATCTTGTCTCTACCCTGAAGTTGCTATTTCTGAATACTGAATTATCCTCAGGCAGCTGCGTTGTTTGAAATGCTTTGTTTTTCTTAACAAAGTGTAGCAGATGCTTTCTAGGGTGTGAGGCAGGGGTTAAGGAAGGCTGTAGAGTTGCTTCTGGAGGAATTTGCCATAATTTGCAGTGAAATGCACTGCTAACATAGTAAACCTTCTAATATTTTCCATAAAAACAAAATATCTTCGGTACTGTGTGCTTTTCTTGGTGTTGTGGACCAGCCCGGCCAGAATCTGATCCCTCTTTTGCCTTGTATCATCACTGTTTATTTAAGAAGAATGTTTGTAGCATTGATACAGAGAAATATACTAACAGTTGGCTCTACTGAAGCTGGAGATTACTTTGTAGCAGTGAAGGATTGTGTACTGAGTGACTCTTCCTTTGACAACTGCAAATTAGACCAGAATGTGAACTTAGTGCAGGGGGTTGGCCACATCCTTTCCAATAACAGACTGTTTAAACAGATTTCTTTACCAATGTTCTCTGGATAAAATCAAATTCAAATCCATGGGGTTTAGTTACAGCTCTCACTTTCGTGGACTGCACATTTTTAATACATCTTAAATAAATTGTTGATAGTTTAGTTGCTTCAAATCACTGACATGGGACTTATAAGTTTTTTGCCTTGCAACAGGACTTAAATAATCATTGTCATCCTCTTTGTGCATCCAGCCTGCCAGGCAGGGTAATTGTGGGTATGGAGGGATGAAAGCAGCCATACAGAACAGCAACAATTTAGGCTCTCCCCAGAAAGTGGCAGTTTGGTGTTAAGCCATTTGATGCTAGGGTTAGAGCAAAAGAAATCCACTACAAATAAAAGTGTACAACGGATTGTTACCTCTCTGCAGGATGGGTTCCAGGCAGTCAGACGCAATGTGACTCAGCACAAAGGGCACGGTGCTGATGGAGTCTCTAGATGATGTTGCCATATAACTTGTTAGCACTTTTACTTTTCATCCAGCATCATTTTGGTTAATGAGTTTAGCCTCCTATCATCCAAGGCAACACTCAGCAGAGGCACAAGAAACTCAGTCTTCCTTAGGAGCTGTAACCCTGATTATTACTGCACTGAATAAGTGTAGTAATAAATCACTGACACAATGAATTGCTCTTGAATTCAGTGTTTTATACATGGTGAATCTAAGTGCCTATAGCTTTTCTCAGTCCTTCCCCCTCTTCTTTGTGACATGTTCCTGCATTAACCATCTGTGTGAATAGGATTGTGGCACTTTCTGTGGTAGATTATCTGGCTAACAAGTTCAGTTTAGAACCACCAGATTGTTCAAATGACTGGTAACCAGTACAGGCCAGTTTAAATGTGTTGTTTACAGACTGTGTATGTATTAATAACAAATTTTAAATTATGAGCAAGGTGAGGGATGAGGTTCAGTTCTTATTTTGGATCAAATCAACTGCTTGTTGTGGGATCTGTCTTACAAATAACTGCAGTATGGGCTCCTTTCTTGGTAGCTGCTCACAGTACTCACATGAGATCGCAGGCTACAGTCTCCAGCAAAGGAGAAGGGAACCAGAACAGGATTAACTACCAATTAACCATTGGATTCTCTTCCTTGTTGGTGTTAGTGGCATTTTGATTGGCAGTTTGTCTGGATGCTGATCAGTTGTCCATTTTGTGTAGAGAATATCTGGAAAACAACATGGTGACTTTAAAACTTGTACTCCCCCATTAATGGGTTGTGTGGATACTGATGTGGCATCTGTTGGTGTGTAAATGGCCTGGGCAAGGTAGTGTGTTAAACAGAGACACTGCAGAGTGTGTCTGCTCTGCCTGCATGACTTTGTCCCTCACTGCTCCTGTGTTAGCACAGCGACCATCACACCACCCACCCCAACCCAGCCAATACTGCTGCTGTGCCTGCTCTGAGAGAAGGGGGACAGGGAAGGTGAAGCTGCAGGAGCAGCACAAACTGGAGTCATGCAGTTTCCAGGGACCTTATCTGCCTCCTGTAAGCATTGCATCTTCCATCTTTGTCCCTTGCTGCTGGTATCTGTCCTTGCCTCTGCCTGCCTCAGGCCCTTCCTTGTGCCCGACTCTGCTTGTGCTGAGCCAGCAGCTCAAGTCTGGGGCTCTCTCTGGCTGCTCCCTCATCGCCCCCTTGCAGACAGGGTGCAACACCTCAGCCAGAGCCCTGTGCTGAGGGAGCATCCTGCCCAAGGGCTGCATCCCACAGCTGGAGCCTGCAGAGCCTGGAGCAGGACCCCCATCTCGGACCTGGTGCCTGGCTCCCTGCTGCACTGCAGCTCTGCCTGGTGGGGGGCACGAGCTCCCCCTCCTCTGCTCCAGCGTTTTAATGCTCTGATTACTGAAGTGGGTAAGTCACCACCTCGCTTGTAATAATTACAGATTTCCTCTGTGATTTTTCGCTCGTTGGTTGCCACAGCAACCGTGCAGTGGCTCGGCTGAAATGCTGTCACACGGATTTAAATCTGAAGCGGCTCAGCCTCTCTCTGTTCTGGCGCATCTTCCCTCTTGCCCCCCGGCACCATGGCAACCTGGCCATGGTAGCCCAGCCTCGGCCATGGCACCCTGTGCTGCTTTTCCCTGCATCCCTGTGCCTGAAGGGATGCTGCTGGGTACCACATCCCCCCATTCCCGTCGGGAGCAGTGTGCAGCGGGAGGTGCCGCTGGGATGCGCGCTGCCTGCCGTGCTGCCTGCGCACCGCCTGGAGGGAATGAACCAAACCAGGGGTGTTTTGTGACAGTCTTGTGCCTGGGTGTCACCTGCAGGAGATTTGCAAACCACAGTAAAAATAAGGGGTTTAGGGACAAAACCTGTTCTTCAACTTCCACAATTGTTGGAAACGAAGGAGCCATTTCAAACCTTAACGCAGTGTGGCTCTGCGTCTCGGAATTTGTTTTCACACAGCTGCCGAGGAGGCTTTCGGATGAGCTCGGACAGCCACATTCCAGAGCCAGATTCTCTCAGGTTTGAGCCGAGTCGTGCGTTCCTCTGTGCTGGCTTTGGCTGAGCGCAGGCTGTGGCTGCCAGGAGCAGGTTCCATTAACCTTCATTAAGTGGGGCATCCCCCCGGCGGAGCTGCGGGGCTGCAGCGCGGGGTTCCTCTGGGTGATGCCCGTGCCCGCTGCGCGGCTGCTGGGGGGGCTGGCAGCGATGGCATTCCTCAGCAGCCTGCGCTGAAGGGAAGCAGCGAGCAGCACTTCCAGCCCAGGAGCTGCTGTGGGGAGTTGGGAGCAGCAGTGCCAGCGGGAGAGCTGGACTTGGCATCCGAGCGCCGTAAGTGCCTTTGCTGGGGTGGGCACAGTCCGCCCCGCTGCGCTCTCTGTGCCGGGGCAGCGGGAGGATTTGGGTTCGGGCCGGGGTGTGTGTGTGTTGTTACTGTGTCCCTGCCGTGGATATGCAGGGATAGCTGCTCCTGGTTTGTTTTCTGGACCCCCTGTACAAGAAATCTCCTGCATGGCTCTGCTGTCCTCAGCTGGAATGGGGGTCACCTTGAGAAACCAAAGCTCTCACCCCAGCTGAAGATGTTTCCCTTGGTTTGGTGCAGGCTGTCTCCAAGTGAGCTATTTTATGCCTTAAGGCACAGGAAAACAAATTGTGCTTTTATTTGGTGCTATTTATCTATTTTCCTGATCTCTGAGGAGGCAGCAGTAAGATGCTGGGAATAAAATCTTACAAGGAATATAACTGAATTTCCTTGGAAATACCACTTGAGGGTATTTTGCAATGCTTTAATTTTTTCAAAACTACAAAATGCTACTGGAGCAACTAAACTGAAAAGCACGGCTGTGCCATAATATGTTTAATCCGTTGTGAGCTGGGCTGTTTTTGTTGGGGAAATGTGTGGAAATGAGCAGGCATGGTTTGGATATGTTGTTGCCATCTGCATTTAAAATAATGGATTTAAAATATGCTTGAAGGGATGTTTAATATAGGCTTGAAGAAATGTTTTTATATATACCTCACTGGTAAAGTTTACTGAAATATCAATGTGCAGGTTTTTTCAGCGGGAACTATGAAGAAATTCCTTTAAAAATTAGAATTTTTTTAGCTAATGTAAGTTTAGTTGTACTTGGTTTTAATCAGCATTTATGTACCTTATACATTTATGTAGGTACTGTTGGCTTTGCATCTGGAACTTACCCCATTTCTAGCAGATGCTTTTTCAATTCCATTTTTTCTTTTCCTGAGACAATGTACTTTCACAGGGAATGTATAGGCACATCTCATCCCACCTTAGCTGTGCCAATAGTTCTTGGATCAAACATGAGCTGTTGAAGTTTAGTGGGTCATCTGGATCCTAGTGTGCCATAATCACAACATTCTTGCCTGTTCTTGTTCATTGGATTAGAGACCAGGAGTCTTTCCTTGGCCCAATATTTTTTTGGAGAGAGGGTAAACAGAGACAAGGGCAGAAAGATTTTATTTGAAGAAAAAAGAAAATCATGTATTCATATCCAGCCACCAAACCCTGCTTAGAGGGCACCTGAAGAGGAGAACCTGGACATATGAGTGTAGTGAGACTTTAGACTCCAAATGAGTTTTAAAACTTGATGGAAGGGCTGAACCTGTTCTGGCTTTGCTGCTGGTTCAGCCCTGACCTGAGTGCAGGAGCCATGAAGCAGGGATTGTTGTGTCCTGATGGATACTGGACAGAACTTCCAAGGTGTGGGTGTGAGGTTTTCATCATATGCAGTGCAGCTTGGTTTGTGCTTTTGCTGCAGTGCTCACAGCAGGCTGACTTGAATGCCAGCTGCATGTGGAGGGAGAGAAGGGAGCTGTGCAAAAAAAGCAGTTTATTATGCTTTTGTGTGCAATATTTGCTGTTTTGTCAAGACTTGAAGGACAAAACCAGTCTCTCCATTTCTGTTGTTCTGAGGACTTGTGGGACTGTCCAATGCTGTTAGTGTTGATAAATAAATAGGCAACCCTGAATAACCAACACTTGAGCTTTACTTGTAACTATGACAACTGTGTCCTTGACAACTTAAGTACAATCATGGAGTTTTCAATTACATCCTGTTCTACACAAAGCCATTAAGATTATTAGAGGCAAAAACAGCCTGTCAGCTTGTGAAGTGTTTTTTTGCAAAATCCATGTAGGTAGGTGGTGGATACACGTTTCCACGTGCAGCTCTGTTACTGGTGTTCCTGGTGGGAAGTGCCTGGGTGGGCTCTGCAGGCACAGACTCACCAGGCCTTGGGGACAGCCACACTTTGCTCTTTTTTGGCTGCTGCCCATGAAATTGGGTCACATAAGGTGCTCAGGTCTCTGGGTCCTGCAGACCCAGCACATCTCTTTCAGAGTGTCCATCTCTGTGTGGGCTCCATGTTGTGGGGTGCTTGTAACCACCTGCACTTTTGGAGTATGAGGCTGTGGCCTTCGGTGGACCAAGGTAGAGGATGAGCAGCTTCTTTTTCTTTGCTGTGCCCTCTCATGAGGATGCTGCTTCTGTACTTTTCCTCTCAAAGGTGAGGGTTCCAGTTCTGTTTTGTGCTGGGTTTGTATAAATGCATAATGAAAAAATCTAATGCTAACCTTTTATGAACATTAGATGTAAATTTTCTTGCAACTCCTCTTAACAGGACTATTCTGTTCTATTTCATTTGAGATAAGTTTGGCCTAGCTCTGACTGAATTTCTAAATTCTTGGTGTTACAGACTTCTCCTGCAAATGCTGTTAACTGTAAGCTAATCAAAATTGGTTTCAGAACTATACTTTGGGATAAAACCGCAGCTGAAGTAAAAAGGCCTGTTGTATTTCATTGTGTGTACTCAGGCTTTCATAAATGCATAGTCTGTACTGAACTCTTAACTCTGCTCCTGGGACTGAGTGAGCTGCAGTTAAATACATCAACATGCTGCCAGGCCTCTTTATTTACATTGTTTACTACATTTAAGTGGCTAAGGCAGCAAGTCAGGATTTCACCCTGTGCTCTGTCACTAACTGGTGAACTCACTCAGTTGTTTCCTGCTTTGATCTGCTGGATGTGGACTCCCCAAAGGAGGGTGGGGCTGTGCCATTTTCAAACAGCAAGTGCTGTGTTCCTTGGATCTCTTTAAGCATGATGACATTGCATTACCTGATTCTTCATCAAATGCAGACTAAAGAAAGACATGATTATGTTTAACAGATGATAGCCTTGACTGTCTTCTACCTTGCCCGTACTTAAATTTCTTTGTGTAGTTGTGGGGCTTATACTTAATTTTTTGTGTAATTGTGGGGCTATTCCAGACTTTGGAATCTCCTTGAGCTGTTCACAGAAGTAAAATACCTGAGTTAAATAACCTGTGTCAGTAAAGATGCTTGTTCATGAGCATTACAAACCAGGAGATTTGCCCCCCTTTAACAAGTCCAGAATGGACCTGGGTCCTGCCTGACTTTTCAACATTGCCCTTTTTAGTCACAGCTAATTTGGTTCCTCAGTTTGCAGTTCCTTCCACTGTTAAAAGGCAGATGCAGAAAGAGCAGTGTTAAAGCATGCTGAGCTGTGAAGTAAAGACCCTTGGAGGGACTCGCTCCTTGCAGCCTGTGCCAGCTCCCTGGGGTGCCAGGGCAGGCTGGCTGTGCGAAGGGAGGGTTGGCACAGGGGCACGGTGCTGGTGCTGCCCTGAGCTCTGAGTGAGGGACAGGGCTCTGCAGCTCCTGCACCCACCAGCAGCCCCTGAGCAGCTCACAGTGTGTGAGCCTGCTGCTGAGTTCACATCCACCTGCATCCCAGCAAACAGGACTAAGAGATAATTAGAGATGCTTGAAATTTTGCAATTGGCACTTAGCATGACTATACCCTTGCTGTGCAGCCTAGAAGAGTCAAGCAAAGGAAAACAGTTTAAAAAATTAATGAATTTGCCTTTAGGACCCTCCCTGCTCCCCACCTCCCCAGATCCACTTTTTGGAAACCTTGTGTAGTAATTGCCCAGTGCAGCTTGTGCTGCTGTTTCTAAACCACTTCATTGTTCCTGGTTAAATGGGTTTGGAGCAGCTGAGGGACAGATGAATGTGCCCCCATGAATTTCAAACAGATTTCTGTGTCTTTGGCAGAGTTGCGAGAAAGAGATGCAAATTTGCAGAGCTGACTTCTCCCATCCTGCTGGGTCTGAGTTTTGCCTTTACCTTTGCACCTCCCCAGAGGATGTTTTCCAGGGCAGGTTCTGTGAGCTGCAGCCTGGCACACCATGTCATGCTGCATTAGCTCTCTGCTGGGGAGTGAGATTGCCTCACAAACTCCTGCTTTGTCGATTTTCTCTCTTGTATCAGGATCAAACCCCCTCTTCCTAAAACTTTTTCCAGGGTTTCCCTCCCAGGAAACACAAGGTTTTTGTGTTGTTTTCCACTCATGGAAACAATACTTTTCTGTGTTCCCAGTAGGCTGCTGCTGCTGGATGACTGTTGTTCTCTCTAGTAATCAGTTTTATCTGTCAGAAATAATCTCTTGGTACAGAAATTTAGCAGCTGCTGTTTAAAAAAAATACACCCAATTTCACAGCACGCATTTGAAAAATTCACATATCCTTACGTTTCATGTCTATGATAAACTGGACTGAGCTTCCTTTTTGAAAATGAAAATAATTTTTCTTACTAGAAGAATGTGGCTGTGACTTAAACACATGCAGTGGCAAACACAGTTTATATAATGCAAAGTTACAGACAAAATTATGCAAATGTATTTGGAAAATTAAAGTACTGAGATTCACTTCAGAATAGCAGTTCTGTGGAGTCATCTGCACCAAGGGCCGGCTCTAGCTCAGACAGCTGCCAGTAGAGGAAAAACGTTTAGGGAAGATTTATTATTCTTTTTCTGGAAGAGTGTCACATCTTTGTGGTCTAATGGTCCTTCTCACCCCCTCTGCTGTCAGATTATCTGAAATTGGTAGCTGTGTTTTGCCTGGATTTGGGGATTTTGTGTGGCTGCAGTGGCTCCGGAGCAGCAGGGTGATGGAGCGTGGCATCGCTGCGGCTCTGCCACGTGCAGGAGAGCTGATCCTGCTGGATTGCAAATCCTGCTGCTGCTTGCAGTGCTGCATCAGGCTGGGCCAGTGGGAATCAATCCAGAAATGGGTTATGGAGGCAAAATTCAATTGGTTATTTTGGTAACCAAATAATTTGTGCTTAGACTAAGACCCCAGTCATGTCAGCTGATCTCCTGTGAGAGCCTGTGTGCATAATGGAGATGGAAGAGATGCTGGGTTTGGTTATAGTCACATGTGATATTACATGATTTATTCTGACTCTGAACTTGAAAATGATAAAACTTTTTATGTAAGAACTGTCAAGGAAAATTAGGGCTAAGCTACTTTATTTTTAAGCCTCATGCAGTAATTTTTTTTCTATGAGTACTTCAGAAAGCCAGTATCATTCCCAATTATATTTTTCAGCCTCTAATGAATACTGTAGTTCAGCTATTAAAGTACTTGAGATACACAGTAAATATATTTAGAAATAAATAACATTCTGGAAGCAGACATAGGCGTGGTTCACCTAGGGAAGGAAGAAGAAGGGAAACCTGGACCTTGGTGGGTACAGCCATGGAAGGTGTGTTTGATTTGCATGTGAAGAGGCATATCACCCTTGTGGAGAATGAAATTTGGGCAGCTGGCAGCAAAAGCCCCATAGGAGATGACTGAAGGGCCACCACTGAGCCTTGGTGGGTTGTTAAGTATGTTTGCACTACTCCTTGATTTCCTGCAAAGCTGTGTTCACCTTTTAACAGCTTCCTAAAGATTCTGAAAAAGTTACACTGTGCAGAGCAAGCTTGTGGAGGGAATTGGAGGTTGGAATAGTATAGAGCAGATAAACAGCTCTGAGCAGGGGACATCAGCTGAGGTGCTGGGCATTTTCTTGCTGACTTAGACTGGCATTTGGGTTTTGTTTGAGAGCGTCATGAGATCCATGGTGTTGGGATATTTCTTCACATGTTGATTATGCAAAAATTAGCACAAGTAAAGAAAGAAGCTGAGAGAGAAAACATAATGAATTAATTAAACTAATATTGTCTTATAAGTGAAGTTACTCTTCACTGGGAACAAAATTAACTAGTTCTCTCTGCACTTGTGACCCAAAGCCTTAGGAAGGTAATCTTACATTTCCAGCAGGTGCACAAGTGTGGTGCAAGTGTTTGCTCATCTTGGCACATTGCAAACTACCTTGAATTTTAACTTAAACTAAGTGAAGCCAAGGGCTATGTCAATTGTCTGGGGAGGCACAGGGAATTGGTTTTGCCCCTGACTCTTAATAGGTCTATGAATTTATAAAACTCTGAAGCAAGAATTTTTTGTTTTCTTTTATATATTTAGAAAAATCTCAAGTGTGAAGGAGAACAAATAATATCTTGTATAAAGACAATACAAAAACTAAATTTCTGATATTTTAGTTCTGGGTACGAGATACTTGCTGTCATGGTAGCAATAGTTCAGCTACTTCCCTGCATCTGGTCATGAACATCTGCTGGTATGTTTTATTGATGGCACAGGACTGATGGAAGCTGTTAACTGTGTTCTCTTTCTGCTGGAAGATCAGCTCTACTCTGAGTGTATTTGTTATATAGAATTTTTTCCAGGTTTGTGGGTAATAGTGACATTTTGTCGCTTGGGCTGCAAGCCTTGGTCCACTGCTGCTCCATGGTGTGCATCCAGCAAGGTGCAAATGCCAGGCAAAGGGCTCCAGTGTCCTGCACAGAACACAGGGGCCATGCTGATAAGTGTGAAGTTTGAATTTAACCTTTGTCCTGGAGAATAACTCAATGACCTGTTTTATCTGACTTCCAGCCAGGCTTTCTGCACAAGTGATCCATAGTGAAAAGGGAGTCATGTTATCTTTCATGCTACTTGTCTTTCCAGGGTTATTTATATGTAACCAGCTGAGGTAGAACCACAGAATGGCTGAGCTTGGGAGGGAGCTCAGGGGTCTGGTCCAGCCCTCTGCCCAAGCAGTGCCACCTAAAGCAACCTGCTCTGGACCATTTGGGTTGTGGGTATCTCCAGACATGGTGATTCCATGCCCTCTCTGGGAAACCTGCTGGGAGTTTTCTTGTGTTTAGGTGGAGCTCTGTTTGTGCCCATTGCCTCTTATCTGATCACTGGACACCTCTGAGAACCCCTGGCTCTTCTTTACTTCCTCCCATCAAGTATTTATTACACACTGATGGGATGCAATCTGAGCCTTCTTCAGGCTGGACAATCTCAGCTCTCATATTCTCTCTTCACAGAGCTGTGATTAATTGGTAAAAAGCTGTTTTTTCAGGGGATTGATTTTCTTTTATTTCCTAATGCTTGTCCAGCTGTCTTTTGTATTAGGTGAGATTTTTCTCATACACTTAGGTCAATCAAAAACAACAGCTTTGGCTTGAGAGATTGACTGGAAACTTTTTTTATTTAAAGTTCAACATAGGCTACGTATACAAAGAAAGTAGGGAGGAAGAGCAAGGGCAAATAGGTACTGACCTTTACCCCCTGGCCCTGCTGAAACTGGGACATACAGCTTTATCCTAGAAGTCATTTGCCTTAGCAAGACCAAGCCAAGAATCAGATGTGGGGCTAAATCCTGACACTGCTCTGAACATCAGCATTAATCCATCAAACCATGCTCTCGGTGCCTTTGGATGGAAATTGGTGAAAGGGGGGAGTTGAACAGCACAGTAATAGTGGCTGCATCTATAGGCATATGAATAAGTGTTTTCTTTTCTTTTTTTTTCTTTCTTTCTTTTTTTTCCAGAACATCAACCAGAAAGAAATCTCTCAAGATTGAGTCTTTTTCAGTAAAGAAACGGTAAAATGGCGTCAATGTTGCTTAGTCGGCAGCTTACCTGTTGCCTGCAGCAAAACTCCAGACTGCTGGTATTTGGTAAGTGTTTCCTTGCATTTTCCTGCTTTGTACTTGCTAAGTGTTTGCTTGCATTTTCCATATTTGCTAAGAGTTACCTTTAGGCTGGCGGAGAGAATTCCAGTTTGAACATTGCTGGTCTTTGTCCTGTGGTGTTGAGTCTTTCAAAACTTGAGGAATATGATGTTCTGCATCTTATATAATGATGCAGTTGTAGTCCAAGGTGGACCACAATTGTAGTCCAAAGTACATCTGATTTTTTTCATTCTTCAAAGAAGAATGTATCAAATTAATAACTTGCCCTGTAAATATGCTAACTGAAGTAAAGAGCTGCTCAGCCCTTGGAACTCTGCTTTTACTGTCTGTCACTACATGGTGCAGAGATGAGACAATCACCCATCAAAATGAGCTGGGTTTTCTCTTTGTGCTGTGTAGCACAACCTTGCCCATCTTCCCCTGTGAAGTGGTTTTTTGTCACTGGCATGAAGATGTGACCCTCACTGGGGTTGTGTGTTTCTGCCTCAAGTGAGCTGTAGTGTGAAATAAAAACCTGCCACATGGCATCAAACTATTTTCTCCTAAGTGAATGGCAAGTTTTGGCTTGGCTCTGGCTTGAAATTTAGCATGTTTATGTGTGTATTAAACCTGAAGTCTCTGTGAAATAGATAAAAAACCTAAATTCCTGTTGGCTGTGTTGGACAAAGCAGTGTGGAGGCTTAAGGACATCCATTCTATATACTTTTACACTGAGTACAGTATGGCTGAATGGCTTTTTTTTGTGACTGAGTAAATCTTAGTGTTTCTCCTGTCCTTCCATCCTCCTTCTGCAATGCCACTGTGCTCCTTCTGCCACTGCCAGGATTAACCAAGCCCACCCATCCATTTGCTCAGAAACTTAAACATCATTGATTTCCTTTTAAATAATACACTTCAGGGAGCAACTGACCTTTGACTAAAGAACACCAAGCAGGTCTTATAACTATTAGAAAATATTAGGTCAGTGTTTCAGTGCAGGATGCGTGTCTATTTCTGGGAGTGACGCACTGAGTATCCACCCTGGCAGGAGCAGGGATCCGTGGGTTGATCCTGGGCAATGGAAAGTGCTTGCAGCAAGCAAGCCTGGTTAGCTGTCAGTCCTTTGAGCTAATCTGTCACCTCAGCATCACTTAATGCTCCCTGTCCCTCCCAGAGTCTTGTGCTTCCCAAGCACAGAGGTGCAGGTGGGCAGTGGAAGGAAGGTGCACAAACTCTTCTTCCTTTCTCACCAACAGTGAGGAAGTCTGGATCCTCATAAGAAAGGAAGGCAGCTCTGGACTCCATTAATCCATCCTTGCTTCCAGGAAACTTCCAAGCCTGCTAAAATACTGAAGCAAACAATAGAGAGCCTTGGCTGCAGGCTGTGTAAGAGCCCTGTGGCCTTTGGGTCTGAAGGCTTGTGTGGGTGAGCAGAGATCAGGAATGATGGGGCAGGAGGAGAGCCCCTCACAGGAGGAGATGTGTCCTGGCACCTGCTGCCTCACAGAACAGGCTCTGATGGCTGGAGCCAAAGCTGGAGCTCCAGGCCATTTTCCTGAGCCCCAGCTCAGGCTGCAGTGCTGCTGGGCTCTCTGGCTTTTAGGGAAGAGCTCAGGGTGATGTCCAGGAGCTCCCTGCTCCAGAGTGCTTACCTCCAAGGTATTTTTGAGCACTCGAATTCAGAGCTTTACAGGCTAAAAAAGAGACTTGTACATTACTCCCACAGAAATCCTGTGGCGCCGTTTGAGCTGGTACTTTTTTTGTGGATAATGAAATGACAGGGTTGCCAAGGGGGGATGGAGGTGGAGAGGAGGGAATAGATTGCCTCTTGCTAGGTCTTTGTGTCTGTAGGCTGTCATGCTTCAGTTGTATGTGTGCATTAAGCAAATCTTCCTGTTCATCTTGAATATACAATAAATTTATTTACACAAAGATTTTTTTCATCCTTGACTATTTCTCTAGTTGGAAAATCTTTGTTACTTAACCATTGCATACTGTTCTCCTTACTCACACAATGCTAAACTCTGGCAAGCAAACTAGAAATGGAAAATGCAAACCAGTTAAGCTGATCAAAATGAAAAAGCTAAGCAAAAAACATGATAATAAGTAATAAATGATAAGTAATACACAACTTAAATCTTACCCAAAAATGTGAAACCTGTAAATATCATGTCCTTCTTGAAAATAAGCCCTTAATCATGTATGCTTTTATTTTCTTTCTGTTTGATCTGCTTGATAGTCTGCCCTCAAAGATAAATTTCACTAGAATTTGAAAGGTGGCAGAGTGACAGTGGAATGAGTAACTAACCTAATCCTCCTTTCACAAAGCCATCTGCATTGTGCTGTTGGTGGGAATTGGCCAGGCAGGGCCAGGAGAGGCAGCTGATGGTGGACAATGGGGCTGTATCTTGGTGCTACATCCTACCTGAACTGAGTTCTGCTGCTCTGTCAGCCTGGTGTGCTGCAAGTTAATCACAACTGGTAGTGTGCATGTCGATGTTTGTTCCCTTTGTGCCAGCTGTGGATTTAGCAGCTGGGCACTGCTGCCGTTGAGGAATGAAGGAACTCCAGTTCAGAAGGCTTGATGATGTGAACACTAACTCTATTTCAAATACATTCCTCTTGTATAGAGAGCATCGTGCAGACTAATTTCATTGGTCCTAAAGTAAAAACATCTCACACCATTGGTGTGCAGGGAATGATGCCTGGTGGCAGAACATATCTATAAACAATGTGAGCAACGAGAATTATTTACATTCCTTTGCAACTCTTTCCCAGGCTCTAGCCTGGTTAGAAACTCTCCTTTCTCTCTGACTGAACTGCAGCAGGAAAGCTGTTCTGGCTCCATGCTTTGGAGGCAGCTGGTTTTTGGCTGGTTGGGCAGTACCATAGCTATGAGGATAGGCTGGCACTCCAGAGATGTAGTTCAGTTCCCTGCTGATTACCCAAAGGGGTTACATTTGTCTTTGAATCCTGCTCTGAAAGCATAGCAGAAGGTCAGGCTGCTGCCTGAAGGTAGCATCACTTTGCATTAGTGCACTCCCATGCCCTTCTAGGATGCTGATCTGTTCTGCAGCTTCTGCAGCCTCCCCATGCAATTTTCTTATTGCTGAACTGACCTTACCTTTAAAACTTTTTTTTTTTCTAATATTTAACCTAAGTTTCAAACCCATAAAAATTCAAATCCTTGGTATTTGTCCTGCCCTCAAATGATCTGGAGGGTGGAACATTTATTTTTAATTTGCAGCAGCCTTTTATGTGTTTGATAATTTTTGTTCCTCCCAATACCTCATACTTTTCTCTCTTCTGAATACTGTTTGTCTCATTGTAGGTGAAATTTTTCCCCTCCAGAGTCTGTGTCCTTCCATTGCAGTGCACTAAGTAGACTGGCACTTGTTGAGGCTGTACCTCACCTAACTCAGCCTGTTTCCTGTCTCTCTGGAGAGGATAATAATGTTTAGCACCTGGGTGCACTGCAGTAAAGTCTGAGACATGTTCATACTAGTTATTGACTTGTCCCCATCACAGTTACCACAAAGAGGCTGGAAAGCCATGAGAATGATTTATTCTCAGTCACGCTTTTGTCTCAGTACTGATCCTTGCTAAGATATTTTATTTTTTTTTATTTGGTTTGTACATTAAGAGTTTCCCTAAGGAAATCAGAGAGAACAGCCTGGATTTGTGTGAGGGATGTGTGGCAGAAGCAGAGAGCAATCCTCTTCTTGGGATTGTAGGGGTCAGTTTGAGGTCAGATTCAACTGAAGCCCTGGAAACTGGAGTGCAACCTCTCCTGCTGGACTGAGGAACCTTTACTTTTCTGTCTGATCAAATACCTTCACAAGAAGCTGAGCTATATAAAAACAGTCACATAAAATCTGTTGTTGTAAGCAGGCTCTGGTACAAGGCAGAGTCCAAGCTGGGCCTGCTGGTCTCAGTTCCTTGAGTGAATGTGGTATTCTCATCCAGCTCCTTCTGTGCCACACAGGGTGGCTGTAGCAGTGCTGGCTGTTTTCCCACCTGGGTGTTCCTTGTGGTGGGTTTTTCACCTCCAGAGGTGCCTTGATGAGCTCTGGAACTGCTGAACTGTTAGAAGAGGGAGGATGTTATGACTGGTTCAGATCACAAGAACTACAAGACCAGTGTTTGGATGCTCCTGTAACTCTCCTGAGGAGTTGATTTGGGATTGTGCTGGGATGGTGAAGGGGAACTTCTCTTGTTCTTCCAGGAGTTTCTACTTCTTTTTGGCCTGTGTGGTATTAGTTTTTTCCTTCATCTTTGGAGAATCCAAAGTGTGTATGTGGGAGTGCTGAAACACCGACAATCTCATGTGGAAGAGCTTCTGATCTTGCAGCATAAGCACTCTGTAAATAGCAATCTCAGTTTTCACAATGTTATGCAATAGTGATGTTCATTTCCCAAACATCTCTAGCTAGTCTGGCCTTTTGCCATTCCCTTTCAAGATCTGTTAGTAACAGATTCTACTTGTAACACATAAAAGAGGACTCAGAGGAAATCACAGTCCTCCTACTTTTGGCTGTCAGGGCCTCCATGCTCTAAAAATTCTGTCTGGAAGGTTTGATCGACGCTGTGGAGGGGAAGTTTAGGGCATGCAAAGGAGGTTGCCTGTCTGCACATGTGCAGGGCAGCAGTGATGTGGCACATGGCATGTGCCTCCCTGGGCACTGCAAGCTTCCCCTCTACAGCCCTTCACAGCAAGAGACTTGTGTTTGAGAGCTCTGCTTTTGCCTCTTCTTTTCCTTTTCCTTGGAATTGTTCCTTCTGTTCATTACACCCATGTCCTTTCAGTGCCTCCACTGGAGTTTCTCCCAGGTGATATTCAGTTGCACACTCAGGAACTGTGCTAATGTCAGTGTTATTTTTGGTCAAACACATGAGAGGTTCAAGCTCTTTCTAGCCCTGCCTTGATTGCAGCTCTTTTATCAGAGATCAGCACAGACCTGCCAACAGTGGTGCTCTTTGTGACTACCAGCATCACCAAATTAGCAGGGTGCACTTATATTAATTATGATGCTATAGCAATGTGGTACTTTGTTAAAATTGCTGACTGGGACTCCTGGTGAGCCATGGGGGCAGCTTGGGGAAGCAAAGTTGGGAAATGAGCTTTTCTGCCTGCTAGCAAGTGATGACATCCTGTTGGATGAAAAGGAAGGATGTGATAATTTGATGATGTGTTCAGAAAGATGATGTGTGATGAGAGCTTTGAGAAGTCTGTAAGAAAATTAGAATTTAACTTATTATGCCCACCTTTTTAAATGGGATGGGTAGAAAATTCTGTGCAAACTGTTCAGCCTTTGTGCTCTCTGAATGAGGTTCATTAACCTATACTTGTGTTTTGACTTCTGCCATGATAAAAAGAGACAGCTTTGTTTAGCAGGGAAGAAAGGCTGCTGTTCTTGGTCATGTCAGCTAAATGTAATTTAAGAGCTTTGGTAATGCTTCTTTAGAGAAGAACACTTGGTCAGACCCCATTAGCTCTACATACTTGTAACATGAGAGCTGAGGTTATGTCATTTGCTGTTCTCAAGATAATATAACACAAAGTCCCTTTTTTCTAAGGCAGTTTATTCAGATGTCAACAGAAAATCAAGAGATTACCTTTTATTACAAAGTTGATGCTGTTAGTTCACTGAAGGACCAGCCATCAGGGATTCTCAGTTCTTGAAAAATACCTTCCTTGGTCATAGTGACAGTCTCAGTTTTCACTTGTCCCATCTCTGCTGTCTTTTTGGGAGGCAAAAACCCAGACCTGCCAGCAAATATCTAAAACTCCTAAATATCCAGTTGGAGTAGCCTGAATTACATTGTATCTTGTATCTTCAGGGTTTCTATTGCAGGGTAAGTTGATATTAAAAAGTCAAACAGGAAAAATTTGGGCTGAGTTGCAAAGCTCATTGAGTACATTCAAGATAGAAATGCCAGCTGAGCAGAGCCTGCTGCAGTTTCCCAGGGGATGAAGCACTACAGTGAGTGACCTGATTTATTTGCATTTTCTTGCACCATTGGGAGTCTGTGGTGCTGGGGGGAAGCAAGGGAGACAGAGCACTGAAATCCTCCTCCAGGCTAAACAAAGCAGGTATTGATTCAGCCATCCATCACCCTGTCCAAGTGCCTGGAAAAGCCTTTGCAGGAGAGCAGCCACGTCCCAGAGCTGTGCTGTGAGCAGGGCCACAGGCGCTGCAGAGCAGGAGGCAGCACCCGTGTCCTGCTGTTCTCCAGGTCCTGCAGAACAAAGCATTGCCAGGGGTGTGGAGAGAGGGGTGCCAGAAGCCATGAGTGCCTTTGGCAGGGCTCTGGTGTCCTCTGTGCCTTTGTGAGTGGCCTGAGCTCCTGTTTGGCCTGCAGAGCAAGGGCAGTGGTGAGGCTGGAAATGAGGAAATGGGCTGTGAAGGGGAGCAGTGCTGGGGCCATACCCTGTGCTCAGAAAACTGCTGCCTTCAGCTGAGCTGGAGGTCTCAGCTACTCCAAACTGCTGGGCTTCTTTGCCTTTGTCACCACAAGGCTTTGGACACGTCCCTGGGCACCAAGGGAGCATTGAGCTGTGTAAATCTTGGGCCATATGTGAGAGAGTTTGTGTGTGCTGTTCAGGTGCCCTTAGCCAGGAGAGCTCCTGGTGTGTGAGTGTTGTGGCTGGCACAGCCTGGGTGTGCCCACAGAGTCACCTGTGTGCCAGTAGAGTCACCTGTGTGTGCCCCCAGTGTCCCCTGGGTGTGCCCCCACAGTCACACAGATGGAGCTTGGCAGGAGCCACCCCTTTCACTGTCAACACCATTTCTGATCACAGGCCAAATTTACCTGAGTAAGAGGAGGGGAAGAAAAAAAGAGTTAAGATGAGGGAAGCAGAGAAACTTTGCTGTGTTCTTAAAATTGGTGTTGCTTTGTTTATTTTTAATCAGCCCTGTGAACAAGTACGCCTCTCTGATGAGTAGTGGGGTCAGGTATTTGGAATAAATCCACTGACCTTGTTAGAAATTGTGGAGTTTATGCCAGTCATTCATTATGCTCTCCCAAGGAGAAGAGCTTCACCAAAAGATAAAGTTTGAGGATTTATTCCGCTTTTACTATCAAGGATTTTGTTAGTATGTTAGAGTGTTGGTTTTTGAGGGTTTTGTTCTTATTGCCTATGAATTGTGGAGATTTTGATCTTTTGTCTGGAGTAGCTTTTCCCCCCTCAGTAGAGCAGTTGCTATGCAGTCTCCAATTTACATGAATGCTAAACAGAATGACACAAAAATGGTGTTGCTGTAACAAAACCTATTAATAGCTTTGCAGAGGGGCATTGACGCATCTGAATTAAAGCTGGGGAGAATAATCATCTTTGCAGACTAAGTTTTCCCAAGATGAGCAGTGACTTTAAGTACTCAGAGATGGTTTCAAAGGGCGGTGATTTTCCAAATAGTTTCTTGAAATCAGGCTTGCTTGAGACATCGCAGCTTGGGCTGACACAAGCTGAGGCAAATGTCTCGAGTCACTGTTGGAAATTTCAGCTGAGTAGCTGTGCTTGGAGCTCTACTGAGCAGTATCACAGGATACCTTCTGTTTTCCTTGATAAATATTTGCTTTATTTAACAACTGTTACTTCCAAACACAAAACACTTTCAGTACCTTGCTGGAACAGAGCTCTGGCAGTGAGAGGTGGGTATGGATGGAAGTGCAGAGGGGCTGGTGCTGCCGGGGTTTCTGGTGGCAGTGCTGCACCCCAGGGATTTCCATGTGTTTGGCTGGCTGCCCAGGCATCTCCCTCCCTGCACCTCTGCCAAACTGGGGTGCAGTTTGTTGGTTTAGCACCTGGCAGCATGGCCCTGGCACAGCAGGATGTGGTGGCTGGTACCTTCAGACCCTGCTGCTCCAAGTGCCCCGGGCAAGAGCTGGTGTTCCTGACTTGCTGTGCTGAGCCTGGCTCTGAGCTGCAGCTGGTGACAGTGAGAGCTAAGGGCCTTCATTTTGGGCCATCTGGATTACACCAGCTTAAAAATGCCTATCACAGATATTTAAAAAGTTTGCCCTCTTCTTTCAGGTCCAAGTGTGATTTCCCCAAGTTAAGAGTATTAAGAGCAGTTTGTTGTTGATACCGTGCTGGGTAGAGGTTTGCAGATGCTCCATGACAAAAATGTAATTGCCAAGAATGTTGGTTTAGTTCAATATGTAACCAGAGCAAGCTCATAGTCCCTGCTGGTCACCTTGGTAGAGCTTCCTTTTTTTGCAAATGTACAATCCCCATATTATCCCATAATCCCCTTAATGGAATATGTACATATTTGGAATACATGCTTACCAGAACTGTCTCTGTCATATGAAGTTTGCCTAAACTCTGTATTTTAAAACAGTTATTTCAGAAAGGGAAGCAGAGCCTGTTATTGGTAAAGCAAAGGAGATTTTTCCCTTTGGTTTCCATTAAGTTGCTGAGTTAATTATGATTCCCTACACATGTGGATAAAAACCAGCAAGATCAGAAGGAAAACTGGCACTGATTGGAACTCAGATTTCAGAGTTGCACTGCAGGGTGCTGGTTTTGTGTGAGACAAGGCCATTTACCTTTCTGAGACAAATCTTTCCCAAGGAGTGTTCTTTGGGCTATTGAAAAGCATCATACTGGATTTTTCATGTGGACTCCAACTGGCTTTTTGGTTATTACTGGTAGTTGACCATCTCTGTGTAGGAGTGGGAAATTTATGGCAAAGGCTTGCACAGGGTATAATGGACGAACTCAAAAAAAGAGATGGAAAGAGATGTGCTCTCAATCCTCCTGTGCTTTACCTGTTTCTCTAGGGTTGCCTTGTGATTTCCCTTGGGATTTTTTCGTTTGGTTGGGTTTTTTTTAAGCCACCTCACTGGTATTGGTTTTATTTTAAGACTGGTCAAAGATGAGATACATAGTTCACTTCAGACAGCTCAATGTAATTGGTCTCATCTGTCAAATGTTTTCAGTCAGGCAAAGTATGAATGTATCTTCTAAAACGAGAGCACAGAAAATATGGTCTGTACTTAGGTTTTCATTATTTTTTACAGGACACAGGTATATCAGTCAAGCTGCAGCTAAAATTGATGTGGATTTTGATTATGATGGACCTCTGATGAAGACAGAAGTTCCTGGACCACGATCTAGAGTAAGTTTCCAAAGTGTAGTAACTTGTTTTTTTTTTATCTTTAGCTGTGTCTCACTTACTAGAAAACAGATTCACTTCAAACCTTAAATCTGATATGAATAAATATAATTCCATAAGTCTACACCCACTTTTATTCATTAATAAAATGCCCCTCTCTGAGAGGCAGAACTGAATCTCAACTGCCAAGTTCCCCTATAATAATAATAATAATAATTCCCACAGAATAATTCAAATCAAAGAGCATAATTTTTATAAAACGTCTGATCAGGCTTGGTCATTTGTCCTCCTGCTGAAATAGAAACTTTTCCTGATGTGAAATAATGCTTTGGTTTTGAAATGAAGGAAGAGTTTGAATTTGCTGGATGTTGTTTTACTCTGGCAGACTCAGCATTTGTGTATGTGGTGGGTTTTGGTTTTTGTGAGGTTTTTTGTTGTTTTTAATGAAAAGGAGCTGTCTTTCTCGAACCAATGTACCAGTATCCCTTCTGTGTGACTCTGGCTTCTCTTATCACTGATTTCTCTCTTGTTTTCTCAGTTCAGTTGGTCAATATAGAAGAGGCAGCTTTCCCTTTTTGGAGATTTACAGTTAAACTGTGTTTGCAGCCCGTTTAGCTCTGCATGCCACAGGTCATAGTTTTGACTGTAATATTTGCAAGATGCACCATGAAAGTTCCTGTGGCAGGTAGAGTTGCCTGGTAAGCACACAGGACTACAAAGTTTGCATATGATTTATGGGATCATAAAAAAGAAATATACATTCTCCATCAGTATTTGCTAATTACACACCTGAGACTGTGACATTTGTTTTTGTGCAGGAATTAATGAAGAAGCTGAATGGCATCCAGGTAATTTGTCAAGTTTTCTGTGTTTTGGGCGTGTTAACACTTTGATTTTAGAACTTGTTTTAAAATCCTGGTTTGTATGTTTGTGCCACACAGAAAGGTGAAACACTGACTCCAGGTTTCCACGCTGAATACATGTGTGGTTTATTTATGCATTTGAGTAAAATCTTTTGTAGCATATATTGAATACTGCAGGATCATTTTGCTAGCATCAGGGGTTTTTCTTTCAACATATGTGTTTAAACCATGTGCGTTTAAAGAAAAACTTCAGAGTTGCTACAGAGTGGCCACTGAAAACAAGGTAGATTATGGTTTGAGTTTAAAAGTATGTCAGCCTAAGTACATATTGCCTTCCTAAGATGAGCAATTTATCCACATCTGTGCTTCATTTCTGTAGAAAAAGTAAAGACTTGACCTTTGAACAGTCATTATAAAAATAGCTGTACAGTTATTCCCATGCAGTGAATATAATGTGTCTTTTTATCCTAGCATTAGATATTTTTACCAGATTTTGCTGTACAACCATTAGTTGCACCTTCCTACATACTGCTATTTTTTAAAGCACTAATTGTTTTTTTTCCTTGAAGAATGCAGAAGCTGTGCACTTCTTTTGCAATTATGAAGAGAGCCGAGGGAACTACCTCGTAGATGTAGATGGCAATCGCATGTTGGATCTCTACTCTCAGATTTCTTCCATCCCAATAGGTAGGAGGCAGTTGTACCAGAATTTTGTTTTGTCCTCAACCTGTCATTTTCTTATCTCAGGCACTACCAGGGAAGTTGATTGATTAATTTTAGAAAACCGAGGTGATGTAATGAGCACCCTGGTGTGATCAGGGACAGCTCACTGCTGTGTACTGTGTAGTGGTGGGTTTGGATAGCTGAAGGAACTACAAATTCTATACCTAAAGCTCTCTTAAAGTGCTAGGACGAAGCTCTAGTATTAATCTCAATTTGAATGTGCAAGTTCCACAATTCAGGTTGTCTTTGTTAGTTTGGATCTGTAGCAGTATGTTACTGTTTTAAACATTAATAAGCATAATATGGACATTATAACATGAAATTATATGCTTTAGTTAACATTTCTATCTCAAAATAAGTGGGTGGGGGGGAAAGGAGTGGGCCATGTGGACTGCAGCAGGATGAAACAAGCCCAGCAGTGAGCTGTGGTGCTGACTGAAAGCAAAGGTGGCAGCCCATTTGTCTGGAGGAGCAGACACAGGGCCTGGCAAGTGCCTGGGAGAGTCAGCTGATTGCTTTGTGAAGCCTTTCGAGCAGAAGCAAGGCAGAAGTGTGAGCCTCAACTGCAAGGCATACAGGTTTCTGCAGAAGGAAAAGTTGCAGAAGTGCTGGGGTAATTTAAAAGATAGTTCTTGTGCTATGTATAGAAACTGTGATGACTCAAAATCATCCCTACAGACCTCCTTTCCTGGGAAGTAATGTGATGATGTTCAGGTTGTTACCAAACTTCTGGCATCTAAGACCTTGTGGCTGTGATGGGTGTTCACTTACCCCAGCCTTCTTTGCAGCCAGTGTTGTTGCTGTCCTGCAGCACTCCATCAGTGTAATCATTCCAGAGCCCTGCAATGTCTGTAGCTTGTTTCCCCCAACACAAGCTCTCACTGCTGTGTATTTTTCAGGCTGCACTGAGATAATCTGGCCTCTGCTCATGAGGAAATAGGGGTGAGACACGGGAGCGCAATGCTTGTATGCCAATGAGCTTGGATTTTAGGTTCTAGGAAAGGAGGTGCATTTACATGGCTTTCCATTCTTCACACAAGAAATTGATTTGGAGAAACAAATCTTGTGTAGTCAAATGCACACTCCAAAGTATGAAAGTCAGTGCATACTCTAAAAGAATGAGATTGTAGAGACAGTGCACTGAGGCTTTCTGACTTCTGGTGCTGGGTGGTGCAAGCATATGTCTTTTAATACAGTTTTGTATATAAAATATTGAAGTATTGTGGAGGAAATATTTTCCTAATGGGCAGGGGCTCTGCAGTTTTCTTTCTCTGGTTGATTGAAACTGGTGATGTAGGGCAAGACTCCAGTGCTGTGACTGACCCTCCTAAACCGTGTAGTTCCTCCTTCTCAAGAGGCAATGCCCTCCTGAGGACAAGCTGGGTTTATCCTAGGGAGCACATTCCTCAGTCCCAAAGGAACTATGGTACAAGGGCTTCTTGCACCTTCTCAGATCATGCCTCTGGGATGTGCAGCAGCAAAGAGTAAATGGAAATTTCGGACTTACAGGCTGATCTAAGCCTAACACACAACATTAATTTATGTGTTTCAGTTGTACTGAATGACAAGATTATCTGAAGCTGCCCAGGTTACTAATAATGTCCCTTTTGGTGACAGAGGTAGGGCCTGGATTGGGAGAGCAAAACAAGATCACAAGGTGCTTGTTAGTCATCTGTGCTTATCTCTTTGCAAGTAAATCCAATAAAACCTTTCATGAATCTGTCAGGACTCCCCAAGATTTAATAACGATACATTACACTAGAATATATTTATCAGCAGAGGTTGAGGAGTAATAAGTGCCTGTGTGGTGTGGAGAGATAAGAAATAAAGTATAAAAAACCTCTAGGCAAAGATGCTTTAGGCTATCTCTTGCTGAAAAACAAAAATTGAAATAATTTTTTACCACACTTTTATGGACAGTTGTAGCACAGCTGTCCTTTCATCCTGCATCTATTGTGTCTAACAGAGTTAGAAACCCCATGGAGCCAAATGCAAGAAGGATGTTATTGACATGTTTGCCAGCAAACATCCTGGAATAGCAAATGAAACGGTGTGTTTTGCAGTGCTGGGAAGGTCTGTTTTGTTTGGGGAGATGCAGAGAGGTGTAGTTTGATATTATCGACAGCAGCCTGCTGCTCAGTTGAAAGGATTCTTTGGGCTTTCTCCATCTCATTATTTTAGCAGGCTCTAGTTGTTTTTCCTTTTGCAGACAGGCACATTCATGAGCCTGGAGGACATGTACGTTCCTGTCACGCTGATCCAGACACCCAACAGGAGTGATGGAGCAGGTGCCCTTCCTTAGAGCCAGCTCTGAGAGCAGATTTGTAACACTGCAAACCCTTGTGCTGGTCATAGCACTGCAAAGAGTTAGTGCCTGTTTGCCACGCCAGCCTGGAGCTGTTTCACTTGTCTACCACAGTTATCTAATGGTTATTCAAGCATTTACTTCTTGCTGGTGTTAGCTCCTGACTGTGAACCCACATGCCGGCTCAGCTTCTGCCACGCAACCCGACTCTGCCATGGCAGCTGGGCTTTCAGGATCCTCTCCTCCTTCACTGAGGGGGCACAAGGAGGAGGGAGTGTTGGGAGGAAGACCAGACCCCTTGGCCTGAAGTGAAGAGAATGGGAGAGGGATCCTGTGTGGGTGCAAAAGGGTAAATCAGGGCTAACAGAGGTTTGTGGTATGTAAGAGAATGGTCTCTCTGATATTGTGGCATTCACGTATGTAACACCAGCAATAGGATTACAGGTTCTTACAGGCAACACCAGAGCTGATCCTTGAGCTTCCTAAACAACAGTAGCTGTGCTTTGGAGATTTCTAAAACATTTGATCTACTCTCAAAGGGGCGCTCAGTGGCAGCCACAGGTGCAATTCTCAAGGACACAGCTCTCAATGTGTCATTCCCTCTAGCTGAACAACAGCTCTTCCCATGACAGCAGATGCCATGCAGATTTAGTTGTTCTGTGTCCCAAATAGCCACTATTATTATCTTCATAATAATTGTAGCAGATTTATCAGCATGACACGCTATTAAAACAATATGGATGTTCTCTTGTTTTCAGCTAAAATATTCCAAACTGAATTTATAATTGTTTTGTTAACATGGTCTCCTAATGCTCCATTGCTTAAACAGATTAATCAGGGCTGTTGTCATTCCACCGGAATGGGGATTCAGAAGCACAATAAGCTTTTGTAACAAAATTACCATGGTCTAACTTCTTGAGCAGTGGGGAAGATGAGGTTTCCAACTGTTTCTAAAAGGAAATGTAAAAGATGATGTTAATCTCTGGCGCTGGTATTTTATACATTAGAGATCAGGCTTTAAATGAAATTTCTGGCCTCCTTCAAAGATTATTTTTCTTAACAGTAGATAGATTGGTTTTGCCTGTAAGCAAGCAAGTTATCCTGTAGACTATCAATGGGTATAAATTAAGCACCTTCATGGTGTTAAAACCGAAGCTTAGTTTCTTACTAAGAAGGATAAATTGTTGGATATTTTTCCCAGCAAAACTTTGTCAAAATAAGGAAATGGGTGTGCCAGAGCTCCCAGCAGCAGTGCTGTGCTGTGCCCTGCACCCAGACAGGCTGCTGAGGGACAAAGAGCCCAGAGGTTTGTCCTACTTCAAAAGAAGTCCCATTATGAGTAGTTAAAAATATACAGGTTGCACATAAACAGTCAAGCATGAAGTTATGGTTATTCTCTACATTATGCTTTACATTACTTCATTGAAACCAGAATGTTCTTTTTAATTAGGTTACAGCCATCCCTCTCTGATCAAGCTTTTACAGCAGCCACAGAACCTGGTAAGTGAATTAGAACATGGAGGATGTGAAGGAGATCTCTCTCTCTCTCCTTGTTATGGGCTTTCTCTGTTTTTCTTAGACTGATAGTGAATGCTAATGATTCCATTTAATGTATGATAGGATCTGCTTGCATTACTTCTCCCTAGATGAAAAGAGCTTTGTAGTGTTTAAGAAGACACCAAAACCTATAGGAAGTTTTACAAGTAGTAAACATTTGGGTGTTGCAAGCCTTTGACATATTTTCAGCCATATTTAAATCATAGTTCTAATGTACTGTCTCAAATTAACCATTTTAATAATGTTTTCTGAAGATTTTTTGAGCCTTACATATCTTGGAATGAATATTTGTGTTGAGAAGGACTGAAGGATGCTGATAAATGTGCAAACTTGAGCTGCACTGAAAATATGAGTGTTTTGGGAGAGGCTGTGTGTCCCCTCTGGAGACCCATTGAGACTTAACTTATCAATGCTCAAACTTTAATTTCAGTCATTACTTGTCCAACAAGAAAAACAACAAACAAAAGAAAAGGGCAAATAAAGCTGCTTGGCAGTTGGCAAATTTATTGAGCTTGTCCTTCTCTGAGAAAATTTAATTTAAAATAAAGAGTAGCACAGTATGAATCAAATAAGATTACCCACAAAGGCCAAGAACAGCAATGAATCAATTTTAATCCATGACACAATTTAAATTAATTGCATAAATGTGACATTCATCTCCATTAATGCACTGGGGAGGCTGAGGGGCTTTTTCCAGAGCTGCTCCTTAGAAACTCCTGTGTGGGCTGCAGGCTGCTGTTCCCTGGTACCAAAATTACCTTTCCTAAAGGTGTGAATCCTGATGTGGTCAGTTCACAGCGCCACTGACGTTGGAAGGGACCTCACGTGGTCTCTTGGCCAACCTCCTGCTCCGAGATGGGTGGCTGTGAGATGAGAACAGGGTGTTCAGGGTTTTATCTGGGACCTTGAAGACTTCCAAAAGAGCAGCCTTTTTCACTGCTTCACTGTTCTCTTCCTGCAAAACCTTTTCCCTGTACCCAAATCAGTCCTTCTCATGCTTTGATTCATGCCCATGGCTTCTCATCTTCCACTGAAGAGCCTGGAGCCTGGCTCCACCTTTCCAGTGTTCCACAATGGTCTGTCTTGAAGGTCAGTAAGGATGAAAATGCTGCCATCCTAACTGAATTCAGCTACTCAAACTGAAAGCAAGTAATAAAGATTTTAAAGCATATTTCCTGTGTATAAGGAAAATGAAGATTGAGCAGCTAAAATGGCAAAATTGAAGAGGAAATGTCAGTGTGCATGCATCTTTCCTAAGGTGTCCTGCAAGCATAAAGTAGTGAGGATTAGATAGAAAAACATATGCTAAGGCAGGAATAGTAGTCTCTGCCTTGAAACTGCTTGTGCCATGATACAGATTTCTGGCTGATATTTATAATTAGAATAAAATGGAACTGCTTTGATATCAACATATTTTCCATGTGATAGTAAGACCTAATAATTCCTCTTCCTTTGTCTTTTTAGAGCACTTTTATCAACAGACCTGCCCTAGGGATTTTACCTCCAGAGAATTTTACAGAAAAACTGAAGGAGTCTTTGCTATCAGTAAGTTTGAGATACCTGTGGACTGATCACTATCATTATCACCACTGTTATTATCATTTTGCACTATACTTGTGTTTAGTATTTCAAGAGTAATTTTCTGTCTTTGCTGACAGGTGGCTCCTAAGGGTTTGTCACAGGTGATGACCATGTCTTGTGGATCCTGCTCTAATGAAAATGCCTTTAAAGCAATATTCATGTGGTACAGAGTAAGTAAAGCATTAAGGTATTTTTGTAGGTTTAGATGTAGAAATGAGTACTTAGTCATAATCAGAATTGTTATTGGAAAACAAAGTGACACTTGGAGGTTGTCTTGCTTATGATGTTGTTTATATTCAATCTAAAAAATATAAAATTAATCTAAATATAAATCTAAAATTTATATTCAATCTAAAATTCAATCTAAATCTTTATTAAAACCTCTTTGTCTAAGTTTTTACTTTATATTGACACAACTTTAGAAGTTATAAAGTAAAGAAAATAAAGAAAATGCAGGTTGCAGTCAGCATGTGAAAGCCACAGACAGGGTATTCCTTGACTCCAGTCCTGAATACGAGCATTCCTGGTTTGTGGTTCAGCCATAAATGCCTTTGTTACAACTACAGGAACACTCATGTTGGGTTGTTTGGGTTTTTCGCAGAACAAGGAGAGGGGCCATAATAATGTCACAAAAGAAGAGCTGGAATCTTGCATGATTAACCAGGTAACATTTGTTCTTTACCACACCTACAGATGTACCACTGATTTGGGCTTGGAAGGGAAGATTGGGAGGGAAAGTTTGGTTTCCTACATGTGAAGTGGAATCTGGGCTTTGTACATTTAGGAAATGGTGAAACACAGGCTGTTCCCAGCAAATATCTGGGAGTTATCAGGAATGCATGGGGGTGCAGCACAGGGGAGCCCCAGCTTCTCACTGAGCCCCCAGTGCCCCAAGGCCACCCCAGGCACAGCCACCACATAAATAAGTGCTCCTAATTAGTGTACAGAGGGGTGACTGTGCTGAGGGCTCAGCCTGGTTTGAGCTCACCTGTGCATGATGTCAGGGCACCACATCCACCAAGGAATCATCCATGTACACACCGGGGTTTGGGAGCTGGGGCAGGGTTAGGGTGACCCGTGTACTTCCTGAGGGGGAGGCTGTAACACTTTGTGGTGCCTGCTGGAAGAGGAGCTCAGGGGGCAGGGGGGGATGTTTCCCCTGGCTGACCCCACTGTGTGCTCTGCTTGCAGCCCCCTGGCTGCCCTGACTACGCCATGCTCTCCTTCATGGGCGGCTTCCACGGCAGGACCCTGGGTAAGCTGTCCCTTGTCCCCCTCACCCCTCAGCTCACTCTGCTTGTCCTTACACACACAGTGCCAGTGCAGAAGCTGTAGGTTCATTAAGGGTTGCCTTGGAAGCCCCACTAGCACTGGAATGCTTGAGTGACAGTAGGAATTGATTTTGTGTTTTTTGAAAAATTCTTTTCAGACAGGCTCTTATTTTCATTCTGAATCTGCAGTTTCCTGTCTGTACTCATGAAAATCCTACTCCTGGGGTAAAATCACCACAAACATGCTGTCACTCACTTTTACTGGTTTATATCAGCTCAGTCCTTGTTCTGAGCATGTTACCTGAGAGTGCTGTAGCTGTAAGCTTTGTGTCTTTGGAGGGATGAAATCCACCTTGTCTGAGCAACCTGTTCAGATTGACAGAGGTTCTCCTCCTCTTCTGGAGCAGTGCATGTGGAAACTGATGCTTAAGATCTAGAGCAATCCATTTAAGTCTGACTAAATCCAATTACCCAGTATTTCAGAAGACAGTAAAAACACAGAGCAGTTAAGAGAATTCTACAGTCAGGCCATTTTTCACCTCTTGGTGGCTTTTTTTCCTTGTATTGATCCTAGATGGGTATTATTTTAATTATTCCCTCTCTGGGCTTAGGTTGCTTAGCTACAACTCACTCTAAAGCAATTCACAAACTGGACATTCCCTCACTGGACTGGCCTATTGCTCCATTTCCAAGGCTAAAGTATCCCCTGGAAGACTTTGTGAAAGAGAATCAACAGGAAGAAGCCCGTTGTTTAGAGGAGGTAAAAAATTCCCTGGCAGCTTTCTGTAGTTTTTGATTTGAAATAATGAATAGTGTTGGTAGGATTAGTGCTTTTCACTAAAAGAATGTTTTCAGGGATTGGAACAGCCTGTGATTGGACCAGCATTCACTGTTGTGTGCAGTCAGACCTGTCTCCCTGCCAGCTCACTGGGAATTCAGGGCTGCATGAGTGATACCAAAGTGAAATTTCACCCTCAGAACTTGCTTGTATCACAGTGAACTCGTCTGCCAGCTCTTGCCAAAGGGCCATGGGCTGAGGGAGAGCACAGTGTGGATAAGTGTGGATAGCCCTCTCTGCAGAGAGAACCTCTAAGAGTATTTCAGCCTTTCCAGCTTCTCCATGGCAGCTTCTGGCATAAAGCTCTGACTGTGCAGAGATGGACCTGCCAGTCCACTTAGCCAAACCTGCCTCACTTCAGAGAACACAGCACAGCAAATGCTGTGCTTCCCTGGGGCTCCTCCAGGGTAGCTCTGGTGGGAGAAGTGCAATGCTGGATGCCATTATTTTAAAACAAACATTATTTCAAAAACAAACAGAACAACCAGAAACCCAAACCTTTTCTTAGCAAGTCTGTGCTTGGCTTACTGGCCCCCTTTGGAAGACATTGCCTTGCACAGCCTACAGGGGCTGTGGCCCTGAGGGCTGTGAGAGGGATTTCAAGCACAAAAACACCATTAATTGCAGCAACTGGCACTGGGAGGTTAATGAGAATTATCTGCCAGCCCCTTACAACAGCAGGATTTTTGCACTATTGCATCTGATTAATTTTAATATATCTGAAGTGGGTGACTGGAAAAAGTGGATTTTCCAGATTACCTTTTCTAATACATTAGCAGAGTTTTGGTTTCTGGCACAAAATCTATCCCCTTCCATATCACTTAGGTAGAATGACAGCAGTGGCACAGTGAGCTGCAGTGGTGCTCAGCACACTGCCAGCTGAACCTGGCTAGAGCTTTCACAGCACTGTAGATAAATGTGCAGCTAGTTACAGTGTGATTAGGACATGGTGAAAACCCATTCAGGAGCAGCAAGGCAGTGGTAAATGCTGGAGGAACCACTTGTTAATCCTCTATGCCTCCTGGTACCTTTATAGCCAGGAATTTCCATGCAAAGTTGAAGTTCTGATGAGATTTCATCTAGCTGGGAGGAAATGTGCAAATGTTCTGGAAGGAGGCAGTACTATAAGTGTTTGTTTTACAGGTGGAAGACCTGATTGTAAAGTACAGGAAAAAGAAGAAGATTGTGGCTGGAATCATTGTGGAACCAATACAGTCAGAGGGTGGGGACAATCATGCTTCAGATGACTTCTTCAGAAAGCTGCGAGATATTGCCAGAAAGGTAATAAAACATTTCTCTGGGCATTCAGGGATAGCTAAAACATGCACCTACACATTGTGGCTGTCTCCAGAGGCTTTGCCCTGCCCCAGGCTCTTGGAGGGTTTCACAGGCCTCCTTAGTAGCAGTCAGGGTAGTTTTGTACCACATACCAGCAATCCCTGCTCTCTTCCATTTGATTCACATCTCATGCTTTCCTCAGTCCAATAAATTATCTTCTAATTTCAAAGTGAGAGAGAAACTACTCTGATTCATTAGCTATGAATTTTGCAGGTGTGTTCTTTAAGTGATCATGCTTACTGGTTGAGGAGGTTCCAGTTCTGAAGCAGGTTGTGAAAAGTATAAACTTTTAATTACATGTTTTTAATTGCAAAAAAAAACCTGAAACACAACTTGAGTCCAGCCATAGTGCTGATATTCCAATAAAAAAATGAAAAGGACAGATGTCTTGGTACTTGAAATGTAAAGTTACCTATTTAGAAGCTATGACCCTCAGTAATACTTACTCCAGGCTTTTTTTCACCCTCAAAAAAACATCTGTGTGCTGAAGAGATGCTGCCGAAAGTCCTTACCCATTGCTTTTAAATACAGAATTATGGTATAGTTTGCTCTCCCTGTCACAAAGTTTGGACAAAATAGTCCTTCACATAAAAACCCCACATTGCCAGCTCACAAGTAGCTCTTTCAGCGGAATTGTCTGAAAGGCAGTTTTTCATGCCCCCTAAAATGACCAGCTCATGCTGCTGGTACTGCCTCTGTGCCACATAATGCCCGACTGACTGGGGGCAGACACTTCATATTTCCAACAAACAAAGCCCCAGAAATGACACTCTGCTTCCCTCAGGGGCTTTGAAAATGCCACCTCTGCTCCCCCCAGATGTTTTCAGGTGTCTTCTAGAAATGCTGAAGACTATATAAAAACATGTACTTGATGAGTATGGGTACAAAACAAGTTTCTAGTGCCTTCCTGAAAAAAGAGCTGAATTTTTAATTGTGAAATCTGACACATGAGTGGCGTTGGTGGAGGGGTTGAGGAGGGGAGGTTGGGGCAGTGAAGGAAGAGGAAGGAGGGGTGTAGCCTGTGACTGGCTTGTGCTGCTGTGTGCACTGAGGGAGGTGGTTTGGGTTTGGGAAGGAGGGCTCACATTCCCTGCTCCTCATGTGTCTCTGCAGCATGGCTGTGCTTTCCTGGTGGACGAGGTGCAGACGGGAGGCGGCTGCACAGGAAAATTCTGGGCACACGAGCACTGGGGCCTGGATGACCCAGCTGATGTGGTAACATTCAGTAAGAAGATGATGACAGGAGGGTTTTTCCACAAAGAGGAGTTCAGGCCAAATGCTGTAAGATTTTTGATGAAACTTGGACTCTGTGCTGGTTGGTGACCCCCTGAGGAGTGTGTGTAACATCTGTGGAAGGGACAAGGTTTCCTCCAGCAGTGCAGGTTCAGCTGGATGGGGCTGCTGTTTCACAGAAACTTGCTGTGTGCTCACACAACAGTTGTCATCACCACTTTTATTCCAGTTGTTGTCAGTCACCAAGGTCATAAAGCTGGTGGGGGGGAGAGGAGAACTGGGTTAAGCCTAATGGAATAAACCTTCAGTACAAAATCCAACCACAAACTGACACCTTCTCCTGTAGGGCAACTTGGGAATTTCAGAGCTTGTATGTCAGCATTACAGATTCTGTCAACAGAATTTCTTCTTTGCACTAATGACATTTTAGATGTAATAAATGAAAGGTCAAATGAAGGGGAAGAACATAAAGCTAAGTGCAAAGCCTGTATAGATGATGCTGATTTCCTGTCATCTGTAGCTGTGTTTCTGTGAGACATCAGAGTAGCAAGGCAGAGTGCATTAAATGAGATGCATGAAGTAATCACCCTGAAGAATTCAGTGTTTCAGCTCAGCAATGGGATTTAGCTTTACAACATAAAAAAGGGGGTTGGTGAGATTAGTGCAAGCCTTTTCATACACCACATGTTTGCATTGCCAGTGTGATGCCTTGCTTCTCTTAATTTATAGTGATTTGCCTGTTAACATGTTCCACAACTCTTTTTCCACTCTTTCCCAAGCCCTACCGGATTTTTAACACCTGGCTTGGAGATCCATCCAAGAACCTTATGCTTGCTGAAGTCATTAAGGTTATTAAAACAGAAGACCTTCTAAACAATGCAACCCATGCTGGGAAAGCACTACTGACTGGGCTGCTGGATCTGCAGGTAAACATCTGGAAGAATTGTGGATAAAAAGGAGAAATTGGTGCTGAAGTAGGATCTGACCTCATCCAGTTTAAACACTTGGGCTGAGGAGTTAGAGCTGGGTCTAGACCATTATAGTAACTTCAACACAGGCCTGAATAACTGTGTCCCATTTGGAATTGAAGTAAACTTTCTTTTACTGACTTAAAAATGTTGGGTTTATGTAGCTTAATCCAATATAAAGGGTGATCCACAAAATATCTGAAGATATGTACTGCAGATATTACTTTGCTAGAAGGCTTTGTTACCATAAGCCATTGGTATTTCCTTCTCGTAAAGTTATTTTCAAAGGAAAGTCCTTTCATATTTTGTTCCAGTTCTGCCGGGCTGTTGAAATAAGAAAATTGTATCTTTTTCTCCCTTGTTTAAGGGAGATTCCTTACAGTTTCTACTGTGGAGCTCTACAGACAGGCATTTAAAGATAGGCTTGTAGGTGCTCACCTCTCAAAGGCATTTTGCACAGAATAACCCCAAACACAGTCTCTGCTCTCTCCACACTTTTAACACATAGCAGGCAGGAGAACAGAGAATACTGTAATCTCATACTTTGGAGGCCCAGAATACAACCAGTCCTATCCAAAAGATTGCTCTTCCAAAATATGAGATCTGTGATTGAGAATAAGTGATGCAGATACTACTGGCAAGGGTCTCAGTGCAGGGTAAGAATGAGCTGTTTTCCAGCCCTAGTGCAGATGGTTTATGCTCACTTTTTCCTGGAGTCCACTGTAGATGTAAATAAGGTGTGTTCTGCTCATTCTAAATAATATTTTACTTGACCCAGCTCATGGGTCAGATTCATTCTCCCTCCCTGGTCTGTGTGGAGCTCTGCAGGCTGAGCAGAGCACGAGGCCATGCGAGCCATGCTCCACTCCAGCGGAGCGAGGAGGCAGCAGGGTTTCCACCTGGCAGAGCCAGCCTTGCCACCAGGTGCCCTCTATTGCAGCACCTGCCATGTGCTTGTCTCTCCTCTCTGCAGGCTCGTTACCCCCATCTCATCAGCAGAGTGAGAGGAAGAGGAACATTCTGTTCGTTTGACACTCCAAATGATGCAACTAGAAACAAGTTAATTACAATAGCCAGAAACAAAGGTAAGAAACTTGTGTGTGTGGATGAGCTTCACATGACAAACAGTAGCATTCACTTGTGGAGGTAATGCTTCATATTTTCCTTTTCATATCATGCATGAGTATTTCTGTATCACAGGACAGTAGTGAAATGACAAAATTGGATTTAGACTTTTCTAAATCCAGAGTTTTCAGAGTTTTCAGAGACCTCAGAGCAGTCTGTTGTGTGGTGTGCATTTACCAGTCTCTGCAGGTCTGAGGTTAGTGGAAGAGATCTGTGTAGGGTCTGAGTTTTGGTGACATCAGGATCAGAGTCCTCTGTAGTGACTTTAGGTGCCCACGGAAATGGTTTACTTTTAGAAACAGGAAAGTTAGAAGCAAGTTAATGTCACTCAGGAAAACGCAGGGAGAAAATGGTGAGTTTTATAATGATTAAATACAAGTGCCTAAAATGCACAGATCTACAGTGCCATCCCTCTTTACCCACAGAACTGTTAACAGCTGCAGACAGGCCCAGGTATCCAGAGGAGAACCTTGGGCTCCACACCTAACCTTCTCTTTGACTGTGTGGGCCCTGTGTTTGCTACTGTCTGTTTTTGCTGTTATTCCTATCTCTTGAAAGAAGCAGACAGGGTGCATCTAAACTGTGGTGAAACCAAACTTTTATACTGTAAAAGAAACTATTTTTTGTTCTTGGAAACTAAGCCAGCAGGGAGAGAAGACAAGTGGTTTGTTTCATGGTAAAGCAAGGTTCTGCTTTGAGGCAGGGTAAGATCAGCTTAATAATATGGATTCTCATTCAAACATTTCTATGAATTTATTTTGGGTTAAAAGTTAAAGCACTTGCAGGGAGAGGTTTGCAGGCACTGAGACATTTTAACTTTTCATCATAAAAAACCAAATTAGTTTAAAAACCAATGCAAAGAAACCACCTGTGTCTTGTGGCACCAAGACACTTCACCAGGAGAGTACTGCAGCTCTGAAATCTCAGATGTGTTTGACCTCTGTGCTGGATGGGTTCTTTCCATTGCTGTCAGGATTAGTCCCAATACTCCAAGTGTTTTATAGAAAAGCTCCAGGCACTCAGTGTTCTTCTAAGCTGCTGTGAAGCTTGAGGCCATTCACACCACAATGTGCTGTATCATGGTGTGGCTAGCAGGATTTGGGGAGCTGCTGTTGGCCCTCCACAGTGAGGGTATCCCCATTGAGAGACCTGAATTTTTCTGGCTATTTGGCAAAGATGGAAATGACTAGAGGACCTATTGTGTTCTCATTTCAGGTGTTGTCCTGGGAGGCTGTGGAGACAGATCCATCCGTTTTCGTCCCACGCTGATCTTCAAGGACCACCATGCACACCTCTTCCTGAACATTTTCAGTGACATCTTAGCAAACTTCAAGTAAAAAGCAGTTCCCTTGCACTGAACAACTGATTATGAAATTAGTTTGCATTAATTCATGTCTTCTCTACTTGCAAGTGTAAAGTCATAAACTGAGGTTTGTGTTCTGTCTGTAATCCTGCCCAAGGCAAGCTGCTCCATGCACACGTGCCCCAGGCAGAGCGTTGGCACTGGTCACCAGCAGGTACATGCAGCTGTCCCTCACTGTGCATCCCCAGAACTTCCCTCCCTCTTCTGGCCTGGGCCATGCTCACTGCAGAGTGCCCTACAGCCATGTCCCTGACTCTGCACTGTCTGAGCAGGACCTGGCACAGGCTGTTTTACCACAGGTGACCCTGGTAGATGTGCATCCAGAAGCAGCAAGTGTGGCCAAACACTGAGAGCCACACGCCTGCCACACAGAGTGCCGCTCTCTAATGGCAGCTGGAATCCAATCGGTGTTTCAAGGGAAGCTCTGCTTTCCACCACTGCCAAGCACAGTATTTTACAGAATAATTTCCAGCTTTATTCCCTCGAGTACAGGCATCTGCCACACCAACTGCATCAGGGCAGCTCTGCCCAGCCTGCACTCAGCCACACCTACAGCGCTGCAAGTGGCACTGATGCCCTTGTCCTTTTGTCCTCATCACGGATGGGTTTTAAAACTTTTGACTTCTCTTACAAGCAGACTTGTACAGAGAAAACTCTACCCTGAAGTATGTAATCTGACAAAGCTTAGAGAACCATGCAAAGCACATTCTTGCACTTCTACCAGCAGTCTAGAATGATTCCAGATTATTTTACTATTTGCCCAGAACACACAATAGCCATTATTTTATCTATTATAACTTCTACACAAATATTTGAGGTATTTTGTAAAACTAAAGCAGAAATGCCATTATCTGGTATCAGAGCCACTGCAGTGAAGGCCTAGTCCTGACTGCACATTTATAATGCAAAGTAATTCTATTTTTGTTCTAATAGTATATTCTAAGTCATCAAAACTTCAGAGATCTTCTAGAAAGCCACAGGATCAAAAAATGTGTCAACAGTTCATTAATTTGTTTTTCTTCAGAGAATTGTTTTGGATGTCTCTTTACTGTTTGCTGAAGGCTGACTTGAACTAGATCTGGTGCCTTTCTTTTTATTTTTATTGGTGAGCATCTGGATTTTGTTTACTAAGTTTAACTTTCTGTTGTGCACCAAAAAACAGGGACCACAATGGACTTTTACAGTTGCCCTTTCAGGACCTGACCACAATTTTTAAGTGCATAAGAAACAGAGAAGTTAAAAGATTTACATGTTTAATACAGCTACCAAAATGTGAAAAGGTTCCTTACCTGCTTTCAGAAGTGTTCACCATGGTTTTCCCATTTTAAAATACTGGTATTGGGAAATTCAAGCACAGTCACTTCTGCCAGCTCAAACCCACTGGGATTTCTGTAAACCTCTGCAGAAAGCAGAATTCTGGTGCCAGCTGGGCAGAACCTGAGCAGGTTTTTGAACAGAGGTTGTAGAAATCTGGGGGAAGGACTGGTAAAAATTGGTGTTCAACAAAACTTCATTGTCATCGCTGTCCTCGTAAGCGTATTATCAGCAAAAGGAAAGTCAAACCAAGAACTGGATTTGACAGCATTTTGGGAATTAGTTTGTTCAACATATCAGTGCAGTAGTTTTAGTGAATGTCTCTAGCAAGTCTTGTACTTTTACAGAAGCAAAGGTCCAGTAATTTGAAGTCTTACCACATCTTCACTTTTATTATGACTACTCTAGGTGTTTTTATAATTTTTACTGACACTCAGTAACTGTATAATTGTGTACAACATGTTGACGAAATCGTTAGAGAATACTTAGAAAGCACTGCAGCTGAAGCATATAAAGTTAATATTGTTTACAGCATACTGTAGACAGTGCCAAATAAATGTTTAAACAAATACTTAAGTACACTTCATGGTGTAACTAGTAACTGTACACAGATTCATAACAAATGACATCAATCATGTGTAATCAATATTCTTAAATAAAATATTTATAATTGAACTTCTCCAAGGCTTTTCATTTTACACTCAGTACATGCCTAAACTGAACCATTAAATGTATGTATTAAATACATACATGAAGACAAACCTCCAAAAACTGCAGTATACCTGTACAGCCCACTGTATTTTGCTGCCATGATGTTTACACCAAGGAACATTTGGATTTCTTCTGATATTGCTGTGCTACACAGTATCAGCCAAAATTTAAACTCACAGAACCCCATTAGGAAAAGTTAAAGTTAGAAATAGGAATTCAGGGCTACCCTGTGCACTTAAATCACAATTTTACTTAACTGATCCTTTGCTGATCTGCCAAGAAACAGGTTTCACTTCACATGAGGAAAAAATAAGGAAAGAACACTCCAGATTATTGGTGAGAGTCAGTTTATTTGCCAGTTTCAAATTAAGCTAGAACTAGAAGAGGCGTGTAAGGAGTTATCTTGCTTCTGACAAGTCAAAAAATGTGTTACATGTTATAGGTGATATGTTTGGTTCTTTCTTGGGTTTAAACTCCTCATTTCTACTGAGGTTTTGGAAAAGGAGAAGTCATATCAGTACCATGGAATACAACCACAGTCCTTCATGGAGACAGGTGCTGCTTTTCCCATTCCAATGAAGAATGGCAATTTCTGTAAGAGTCTCCTGAAATATTGTCCCTGCCTTTAACTTACCAGCTGAGCTGCCACTGTCTCTTGTAGCCCACACCCTTGTTTTGCCCAGTTCCACTCCCATCCTGGAGGACCCTCCTGAGGCCAGGACAGCCCACACACCTTCCCAGTTCCCTCAATTGCATTAACACCTGAGCATGTCCCTCTCTGACATTCAGCAGTACCCATCCTATGGATGTACCAGACCAGCTTTCATTTCCAGAGGCTTCCCAGCCAACTTGAAAATAGCAAAAAGAAACACTGAGTTTGAAGTGAGGATGCTCTGGCAGCTCCTGCATTTCATTTCAAGAGATTTTTCATAACCACCAAAGAGGCCAACAGAAAGAAACAGCCAGGGTCAGCCCCAGTAATTTGGACAGTTCAGGCTTGGAATGCTGTGACATTACTAAATCCTACATGGAACAGACACTCCTCACACCATATACATGCTGCAAGACCTTTAATCCAGTGGACTGTGCCTGACCACTGTGACTTTCTACACTGGGTGCACTTACAGCAGGCTTTGCACAGGAAAAGGACAGGGATGTGTAGGTTGGTAAACTATTTAAACCTCACAAAACAATAAGCACAATGAACATGGACAGTCACTGGAAATTAGGTGCTGTGTCACACAAATTCTCCAAATATTTGAGTAAATTTCTGTCTGTCTACAATCTGGCCATACTTAATTGTAAAATACAAAGTATCTGTACTGTTATACCGTTTGAACTGGTGAAGTAGCTCGTCCTTGCTATCTCCAACTTCATCCAAAGTCACCACTGTCTCTATGGGACAGTAAATATCATTACGTCTTCCCCAAAATGTCAAGTGGGCCACTCTGACAGTTTGTCCACTTTCACTTAAGTATATTAATCCAATAATTCTTCTGAAAAAGTAGCTCATACCATACAACATTGCCCCAGCAAAGATAGCGATGCCAGTCGTATATAGGAGGATATTCTGAGACACCTGGTCCTGCAGGTAGAGGTAGCAGATGGGAGGCAGCATGACCATGGAGGTGGCAGTCTGCAGCAGCTTCAGTCTCGACAGGACCCTGCAGTATTTTATCCCTGGGAACCTGTAGACCAGTTTGAACTCTTCTGTCTGCCCATCCACAGCCTTCTGCTGGAGCACTGCAGCAGGGGCTGAGTGGGACAGACACACAGGCGGCTCTCGCAGTCTCCTGAGATGATTACCATGAGCTCGCTGGGTTTGTGACTGCAAACACTCCCACGAACCAAAAATCCAGGGCCGACGAGCAGCTTCCCTTCTCCACGACCTTGTCCAGAGCTCCTTCTGTAGAGATCTCCCAAAAGCTGCTGCCGTGCAGACTTTAGTCCTAGTGCAGAGCCAAGCCTGTAAGGTAAGAGTCCCACAGGTCATCGTTTGAGTGCTCTTTAAAGCCCAATTGAGAGCTCAGAGTTGGTCACCCGGGCGCCTAAAGACAGTAAAGCACAACCCCCGGGTCACTGTGACCTGCAACCAGAGCTCTGACAGGAACCTGGTTTTTGTGCCCGCATCCCGCCCTGCAGAGCGGCAGGGAAATCCTGCTAACACCGCTGCTGTCAGTGAGCTCAGGGAGCGGCCCTGCACAGCCCCTGCCTCTCGCCGTCTGAGCACCAGCCCAGGGAAAGCTCGTTAAATAGCCCCTTAAACCGCAGATTCAGGAGAACAGAACAGAAAAATGAACTAAGCACGGCGAAGGAGAGCGGGAGCAGACGCTGGGAAGGCGCAGGGCTGCAGAGCAAAGGCAGGAGGGGAAGTTCCGCGCTGCCCCCGGCGTGCTGCAACGCGCGGGCAAGGACCCGTCACCGAGCGGGATGGCGACAGGGATGGAGGAGGCGAACGGCAAAGAGACGGGGGAAGGAGGGGAAGGAGGGGACGGAGGGGACGGAAGGGAAGGGGGAGAAGGAAGGGACGAAGGACCAGCCCGCCCCAGCCCGGGCCTCACCGCCGCCATGGCCCCGGAGCTCCGCGGCTGCGCCGCCCGCGCGCGGCCCGCCGGGAGGAGACGGGACGGGACGGCACGGAACAGGAGGGGCGGCCCCGCAGCCATGGCGCCGCCGCCCGGCGCGCTCTGCCTGTTCGACGTGGACGGCACCCTGACACCGCCGCGGCAGGCGAGTGCGGGCCCGGGCTGCGAGCCCGCGGGGCCCGGCGTGTCCGCGCTTGGCTCACGTAGCGCTGCGGGCAGAGCGCGTGTGGGCTGCTGTAGCGGGATGGAGGCGCTGGGCTATGGCAAATCTGACGGCTCTGTTTTGGACCGCAGAAAATCTCGGCGGAGATGGCGGCGTTCCTGCAGCGGCTGCGGCAGAAGGCGAAGGTGGGAGTGGTGGGCGGCTCGGACTTGGCCAAGATCCGCGAGCAGCTGGGCGAGGACGGTAAGGGCCGCGCTCAGGGCCGCGGTGAAGGGCAGCTGGAGGCTGCAGCCCCCTCATCCCCTCTTCCCTCGCTTTAGCTGTCTTCTGGTGGTCGTGTGTTGCACTCAGGCTGTGGAGCTACGGACCGGCACTTGGGAACCGCAGCTGCTTGCACCGCTGTCTATGGATCAAATTAAGGGATTGTTGCTAATGGTGAAATCCTGCCTCGCTGACAGCCTTGGGAGGGCATTTTCACACTGTGTGTGCCATACACGTGTGGGCTGTCCGCTGTCAGCACTTCCCTCGGGACCTGCTTTTGTTCGCTGTGGGGTTATGATGCAGCGGTGCACTCTTGCCTTAGCTTAGTTCTTTATTCTTAATGCTCTTTACTCAATTGATGCCACTGATAACTCCTGTAGTGCCCAGACAGCTGAGTTCGTTTGCCTTCCAAGTGGTCTCCAGTCAACCTTATCATCATCTTGTGTACTGCTGAGACTCACAACTCCCAGACATCTGCTGAAGATTAGTGACACTGAGGAAACAAACCTAAAGGGCAGTATCTGACTTGCCCTCTAGCCAGGCCATGTGCCAGGTGTTTGGGCATTCCTTTACATTTAATGTAAAGAGTCTTATGCCTCTAAGTAAAACCACAGGTATGTCAAACAAATGACTTCACGTGATCTGAGCTGTGTGCTGATCATAGTGAGAAATGGGACTAGCATTAATCTTGTGCTTGATGCTATGCTGCTGAAACTTTTCATGCTTTAGGAGCTAATGTTTGCTGTATTTTAACCAATTTAACATTTAAGACAATTCTGCATTAAGCATTGAGGGGAAATGATGAGTTACTGTCTTTTTGCTTGTTTGCAGTGATTGAAAAATATGACTATGTGTTCTCAGAAAATGGCCTGGTAGCATACAAAGATGGGAAATTCCTGAGCAAGCAGGTAAGTGTGAAATTTCCAATAGTGAGAAAAAGAAATTTTCTAAACAAGCTTTTGATTTATTTGTACAGTGTAGTCCTCTGTAATCACCCTTTCAAAGACTAAAATTGCTGCTGCTTTCATATGTTAGTCCTGTTAATGGATCATTCATTTGGCATGTAATGTTTAACATAAGTAATGGAGAGTAAACATTTAAAAGAGATCCTGGCTGAATTTGCTGCCTTGACCAGTGGTTCCAGTTTACTGCAGGAACAAGCTCCTTTTCTTCATTCTTGGCTGTAACAGACATTAAATGCAGCTTTTTGTTCAGGGCTGCTGCCTGTGGCACAGTTTCCTTCTGAAGCAGGTTCAAGTAGGAATCATATTAAAGGACAGTTTGGTGTTATAAAGTGAACAAAAAGCAAAATGAGAGCCTTTAGTTAGTACCATGTGAGCATCAGCTGATGTTACTGACTGAAGGCATGTTTGTTCCTCTGTGGTATTAACCATGCCTGATCACCCAATGTCTGTGTTTTCCATGTGACTTGCTTTTAGAATCTCAGATTCTGGACCCTTGGTTGAATGGTGTTTGTTTTGTTAGAGCATTCAGGGCCACCTGGGCGAGGACATCCTTCAAGATGTCATCAACTACTGCCTGAGTTACATTGCAAAGATTAAGCTGCCAAAGAAGAGGTATGTGCACACAGACATCTCAGCATGGCCCTGTTCTCCTTAGGGTATACAAAGCTCAGCTCAGGGTGCTCAGCAAAAAAAAAAAAAAAAAAAGAGTAATTTCTGCCTGGGGCACAGCACTGTGTGTGTGAAACAGAGCTCTGTCCATGCATACAAAGACAAGCTCCCAGCTGGAGCACAGGGCTTGAAATACTAATTTGGCACTTTTGTGTCACAGGGAAGGAGATTCAGTTTTGAAGTAGGAGTGTTCCCTTGCCATGTTTGGAATTCAGCAGCATAGTGTTTTCCAGAGATGAGAAGTGCAGCCAGACCAGCTCTGTGTGATGTGAGAGGTGCAGCTGCTGCAGACACTGAAATGTGCTGGGTGGGGCAGGGCAGGACACTGCCCACGTTGCTGTGAATTCTGCACCTTTACCCACACTGACAGCCTGGCCTGTCAGGCTCTGAGCTTGATGGATGCTCCAGTCACACTTGTTAAACCAAATGGGACTTGTAAAAGCCAGTAAGGATGATGAGGAGGTTGCCATATTCCAAGTCCAAAAGACTTAACTGATGCCAGAGGTACCTGCATGTAGTGAGACAGGTGATTCTCACTGCCTTTAGAATTAAATGGAAATTTATTGTGCTATTTAGTGTTTGGAGCAATTTTCTCATCTATTTTCTGTCTTGTTATCAATTCCCTTGCAGAGGCACTTTCATTGAGTTCCGAAATGGGATGTTGAATGTGTCCCCCATTGGAAGAAGCTGCAGCCAGGAAGAACGACTTGAGTTCTATGAACTTGATAAAGTGAGTTACAGCTCTCCTGGAGAAGGCAGTTTTAAAAACTTATAATTTGTGCAAATTTTTTTTTGTAATTTAAACCCTTTCCACGTGGTTTAACTAATCTCCTCTAATTCAGACCTCAGGAAATAGTCAATGTGGGGTTTTTTTGTTGGAATAGCAGGGATTACTTGCAGAAGGGCGGGTTTGGCTCATGTTTTTAATCCAATATCCAGGGTACTGAACATCCTGCTTCTATACATGGGGTTTCTAAAAATCCCTGTCCTAGGTAAAACCATACTTTCTCCTCTATAGTGTAACCAGCCTGGGTCCATTCAAATCAATAAAACCATTCGTTTTTAGAGGTGGTTTTGGGTTATCTTTTTGTTGGTAAATCAACACAGTTACAGCATGTAACTGTTGTTTGGTTTTGTTTTCTTTTTTCCTTAACAGAAGGAGCATATAAGAGAGAAATTTGTAGCTGATCTACAAAGAGAATTTGCAGGCAAAGGCCTCACATTTTCAATAGGTAATATTTTAAAAGAATGTCATTTAAAACACCAATTAATTTAAATTTCTTTTAAGTCATATTCTCTTACGGCTGTGACATCCCATCTCATTTGTCTGACAGGTCTCTCTGGGGGTGGTTGCAAGACTGAGCCTCTTTTTCCTCTCAGGTTTTTATTGGGACATTTTAATTGAAATCCATCAACAGAAGAACTTCATTTCTTGTCATCAGTTTATTGTCCTTTAATGTCAGTTGTGTGACTGATTCTGCTCATTTTGGAGGATATTAGATGCATTGGATTAGTCAGAGTTGTTTCTGTGAATCAGTTTTGATCAGAACTGCTCCCTCAGTGCTGTTCCAGTTGCCTTTGGTTCTTCAGCTATACCTACATTGTGTGGGAGGAAAGAAAGAATCCAAAAGCAAGTGCAAGCTTAAGGGGAAAAAAAATTACAATAAGGGGGAATTAATTTTTGATGCATTTTGCTTTTTTACCGTCTCTCCTAATATATTACCACACTCCTGCTTTTGATTGTTTTTCAGAATTGCAGATAATGGTTGGCATTAGTGCTGAAGCACTAAGGCAAAGGTGAACTGCAGTGCAGCTCTCCTCTCCTTTATGTTGTAAATACCTTTTGGACACTTGCTCCAAGTCATGCTCTTGGGTATTGGTGAAGGCCAAGGGCTCAGAACTGGAACAGCTGTCGTCCTGTTAGGGTGTGCTGAAAGGGCTGATTTCTTCCCTTTCCTACTCTGAAAGCCTTAGGAAGTCTTTTGCCTACAATTTAATGGCTGTAAATATATCAGTGGCTGTGTTCATATGTCCTTTCTTTCTAAAAGTAAAGAGGTTAAGTGTAATTATTCTAAAAGGTTAATTTGGATAGCAGTGAGTATTTGGGAACATGCTCAGACTTTGTTGAATGGATAAATAATCTCTGAATCACAGCTCTAATAACTGATATAAAACACTTTCTGTACTTGCAGGACTCACAGAGTCTCACAACATTTCTGTGCCTTCTGCAGAGCTCCCTCTCCCTAAAATCTTACCCAGTTCAGTTTTTTTTTCACTTCCTCTCCCTTCAGAAATACATTCTTAAAATGAAACAAGTCTTGGTTCCTTTCTCTCCTAGGAGGACAGATAAGCATCGATGTGTTCCCAGATGGCTGGGATAAAAGGTACTGCTTAGGAATTGTTGCCAAGGATGGATACAAGACTATTTATTTCTTTGGAGACAAGACCATGCCAGTGAGTACATTAGTTTGATACAGTAATTTGAGAGCTGCTGTAATTAAACCTCAAGGAGTGCAGATTCTAACCTTATAACCTTAATCCTGACAAGAGCTGAAGCCAGGGCATAAACATGTGTCCATGTTTACCTGGCTGCAGATGGGAAGTTTTCCTTGTTCCCTGAATTGAACACAGGGTTCCTGCCTTAACAGAGGTTGTTTTAAAACTGAACTTCAGTAATTCTGTTAAACACCTAGGTGACATGACTGTGTGAAACTGATTGTCCTGCCTGGTCAGTGTAGATTGATTTTTGTTGGCTGGTGTTTATTAAACATATTTATTTTCTATCTTATTTAACACTGTGCCTTGCTCACTACTCTGTCAGTCTCCAGCCTGGGTCCCTCATCATGGGGCAAAGCTCTGCAGGACAATTCAGAGGCCTTTTAAAATCCTGAACAGAGACCTGACAAGAGCTTGTGAGAGCACTGGCAAGCTCAAGAACTTCCTTGAAATGAAAGCTGTCTGCATATGGCCAAAGGACAGTGTCAGGCTAAGTTTTATAAGAAAATGCTTGATTTGATAAGAACTCACAGTTATAAAACTCTTAAATTACACAGCACTTTATAAATTTTAAAATGTTGAAATTAAAGTTTTTTTCCCCTGACATCAGCTGCAAAAGTAATCACCTGTCTCTCTGGCACAGAGCTTACAGACAGTTCATTTTAGACCCTCTAAGTGGCAGTGCAGCATTTCCAGAGTTGAAGTACTGAGAGCTGATGCTGACCCCGTAGAAGGAGTGTGGCAAACAGAAGTTTGGGAATGAAGCTATGGATGGATTTTGGGGATCTGTGCTCATACAGGGGCAGTGCTGTTGTTCACTGAATCTAATCACTGCATGCCCTTGGAAAAAGTCAATTTTCCCCTGTTTCCTGTCATGTGTCCCTTTTTGTGACTATGCTTTATGTTAAATAACATTAAATCATCTTCTGCTTCCAGGGAGGGAATGACTATGAAATTTTCACAGACTCCAGAACAGAAGGCCACAGTGTCACATCCCCACAGGATACAAAAAGAATCTGTGAAGAGCTATTTTTTAAATAAAAGATTTCCAGAGTTCACACTTACAAGACAGTTAAAAGAGCAAAATCACTTGAAATATCATCATTCTGTATTGGTTTTTTGTAATTGGTCATGAATAGCAGGTGCTTTGCAGGTCAGTAATTACTAAAGGGAAATGTTTTTAATTGAAGGCCCCTTGCTGCCTGGGGGAACACAGCAGAGCTCATTTAGCACCATCCTTTGTTTCCAATCACATAAATTGTTTTCTTTTTGTTTGGTTGTGGGCTTTGGGTTGGGTTATATTTTGGGTTGGTTTTTAAGACAGCTATAAACTTCCTTAACTAATTAATTACAATTTAGGGAGGGAAAGGGTGACATAATCTGCATCTAGTTGATTCATGGTCTCAAAATTGGCCTGAAAGGCTTAATCCCTTAGTATTTTTATGTTGAGGCAGCTTGCAGTGGGTTGTTTTTTAAATACTTACCATGTGCTGTATTAATTAACATGAATTATAAGACAGTTTCTTGTCTAAAACTGGAAGATGAGTAAAAGGGAATGGTTTTATTGTCTTCCTGGGGTTGGGAAGATGGCAGTGAACCAGAAGTCCCTGACTGCCATCCCTTGGAATGCTGGACCAGCTGGTGCCAAAGTTCCCTCCTCAGGATGAATGTGGTCAAAGGCAGAAGTCAGGTCATGGTACCTGCACTCTCTGCAGACCAAATCTAAAAAACCATTTGTAAAAATTAATGAAAATAACTTCAGCATATTAGCAAAATATATTTCTGTCACTTTCTGATCATTTTCTGAGATTCCTGGTTAAGGCATTAAGAGTAGGTGAGATTTTTCATACTACAAAAATGACCTAAATTATGTTTTTATTAAAATTCAAGTCAATGCCTGACAGTCTGTGTAACTGTTAATATTACTTTTCTCATCTGGCATTAGGAAAGTAATCTTGCATATAAACGGTTTGACTTAGTAAAGGACAATAAAATGTGATTTTATCATGAAAAAATACTGTATTGATTTGTCATTTTGGTAAATAAAATACTTGAAGCAGACCTGTTGCATGCTGCCTGTCTGTACAAAGAAATGAGTTATTTGAATCTTTCCAGTTCCAGGTTGATGGGATAATTGCACAGTGAAAAAGCAGGGAATAGAATCTTTGTGTACCACCCAAAATGTCCAAAAGAGCTTACAAAAACAGAGGGGGAGTTGCTATGCACCTCATGCACCAAAAGTCTTTTGTCTTCTAGCACACTTCTTCCTTAGCTAATTCCTGTTTTAATGGGAGCTGACTTAGAGCAGGACCATCCCTCGTGTAGGAATGCTCTTTAAGGACAGTGTAAGAGCTACTGCATTCATTGTTTTCAGCCCCAAACACAACATTTCTGGCTGCTCTGTCTTGGGAGCCTCCTCTGACATCTGCTGGCCTTGTTATTTCCTAATTGTTCTGGTAACTGCAGTCAGTGGCTGTGAAAACACTTCCTTAAATAAAACTTTAGTCACCACACAGGGGTGCATGTGCAGGCACCTGCATTCTCCCCTTCTTCAAAGCTGAACCTCTTCAGCACCAGCTACCCAGGGAGCAGACTGGAAACACATTAAAGCACTGAAATTGTTGCATTTATTGTAAAGAAAGCAGGAGATGATATTCCAACAAGCTGCACAGTGATAAACCCACCACAACCAAGGCTTATGGGTCATAAAAAACAAAACCAAGCCCAAACCCCCAGTACAGCATGGTGTAACACAGGCACAGCTAAGGGAAAGCAAGACAGCACAGCAGTCCTGACCCCCACCCCTGTGCTGTCCCCACATCACACCTGGGACAGATCAGCTGCTGTGAAAGGCTCAGGCACATCCTGACAGCGAGCACCTCTTGGTGAAACCAAATACACAACTGAAGCTACACTGTTTTATACAACTAACAAGACTTGTACCTTTTTTTTTTTTATTTATTTGCAAAGTCAATAAAAATCCACTGTTAGGAAAATAACAGAGAAAAATGCTTCATTTGAAAAAAAAACGTGGAAAGCAAATAGGAGCAAAACCAATTTAGTAGCACTACAACTACACAAAGAGTCTGGGGAAGGGTGGCCCTATCACATCCTACCAAGCGAGTTTGCCAGGGAGACAGATGCAGAATTTATTTCACCAAGACAGCTGAGCCTGCTGAGGAGCTCCCACAGTGTTTCATACACAGGCACTGGGCAGCACAACCCGCTGTGCAGCAGTGCAGGTGGCCTGCCTGCCCCTGGCACACCATGGCACTCAGCTGTGTGCAGTCTGGAAGGCAAATCTTCAGCCCTGTCAAAATTCAGACACACTCAGAGGCCATGAAGTATCCACTACTCTACAGTTTTCTACCACTTCACCTTGAAGCAAATTTAAATTTGGGATGGATTTTTTTTTTTTTTAATACTGGCCTATAAAATCTGTTGCTAATCAACCATCAAGGCACCTAAGTAAATTCACAAACCCCAGCTTTACCAGTACAACACAGTTTCCACGCTGCAGCCACACCATTTGCAGTGGTGCACCTGATGGCCATAACCACCTGATGGAGATTTTCCACCCTGTGGCAGCTGCTCTGTTTGTGAACTTCCTTCCATGAGGAAAACAAATCAGCAATGAACACCTCTGTCTGTCAGGCCAAGGCATTCAGGCACTGTTATCAGCAATAAAGGTACTGCAGCCCTGGAAGAGCAGCCCAAGGGGGCTCACCCAGCACCCAGGGCTCGGAGCTGTGCTGGACCCTCTGCCCTAGAAGGGCTCTCCTTGAAACCTCTCCCCCCTTCCCCTGGGCATTTCCTGGAATCAGTTCACAAGACAAAAGAAAACCCAAACCTCCCCTCCTCCACCAAGCACACAAACTAGCTCTCTTTAAATACATTTCTTGTAAACACATTACTCTAGATATTTTTTCATTAGGATTTGAATTGCCTTTTTTTTTTTTTTTTTAAATCAGGCCAGCTGTAAAAAATGACAATTTTGGCCTGCTTCTGCTTTATTGACAATGCAGTATTTCCTCACACACAGTATTCTTCAGCCAGGTGCTGCAGCCAGGTGTCGAGCAGAGCCCACGCTGGCAGCAGCCACGCTGCAGGGACACCTCAGGAGCTGATGACGTGCCCTGACCACGTCTCGTGCTTGGTGCCAGGGGCCAGGTGAGTGATCACCACCTCCACTGCCTGCAGCTTCTCGTTCTTGGGAGGGATGGTGCACATCTTGTAGGTGACCTCGTCGCCTGCCACGGGAACGTACTCGCCTTCAATGCTGTGGAGGGAAGCTCCAGTCAGTCATGAGTCACATCAACACTCACTCTCTTTTGCAGCTTACTGAATTTTTTATCATAATTGCTATCTTAGATGCTCAAAGTACTTCAGGGATTTTATAGAGCCTGTCATCTGTCAAAGTCTGAGGCTGATTTTGGTTGTCTTGCAGTGAAATCCTATTTTCATGAACTATGAATACTATGAACACCAAAATCAAAAAATCAACCAACCACAAGAAGTAAAAAATAAAACCAAATAAAACCCACAAAAAGCTCCACGCTAATCTGCCTTGAAGAATACTCAGGTGAGCCCAGGCTTGGACTGAGAGCTGTGCACCAACACCTCACTTGCAACAGCACTAGAGGGCAGGGCTGCCACTGGCTGCCACTTACTTTGGGGATATGGTTTTTAAACTCAAATTGATCTCTTTTTGGTTGGTTTTCCCTCACTTCTCACTTAAGCTTTTGAAGTTTCAGTTGGGTTTTTTTTTTCCATTTTTTCTAAAAAAAAATTTTACCATGTAATGACAAGATTTTTTACCTTAAGGTTGCCCCACCATAACACAGTTTGTGGAAAAAAGAAAAAAAAGAGCCCAAGTGCGATATGGTATCAAATATTTCAAATTACTTGCTGTGAGAAAAGAGAGTTCTGCGATCCTGATGTGTTAGCCTGCAGAAACCCTCACCCAACACGCAGGGAGACTTCCAGGAGGCTCCAGCCAACATCCCCAGAGTGATGCCAGGGGATGCTGGAAGACCTGCACTGTGCATTTGCTACTGCACGTGAGCCCGTGTTTGCAATCACTGGGAGATGCCAAAAGAGCTTCACCTTCTGTTCAGAACAAGGTGCTGATGAAACAGAACTGCAAACAGCCCTCCTCATGTTCACCCTGCGTTTGAGATCAGAGCTTTGTAATAAAAATGCCAGCACGCGCCACTGACCGCTGGCAGAGATTCCTCCCTGCTGCACTGCCATGAGCTCTGACAGTGCAGGAGATGCCACTCCACCTTTCTTTAAATGTGCCTTACTCCAGCCCACACTCAGCTTTCTCTGCCCTGACAGCTTAGGCTCTACATTTCTCAGTGAAGGTTCTCAGCAGTGTCTGTATTTGGGAAGAGACCAACACTGATAACAAATTCTACTGGATGCCTTATTGGTGAGCCTTGCTTGTGAACTCCTGTTACACTGGAGTCCAGATTTGTGTCCAGGAAAGAAAAAAACGTGGTCTAGGTCAGAAGTTTGTAGTGCACCACTGAATTTGGTATTTGCCTTCTCTGAGAGCACACTGAGAGCACGCTCACCCCACCCAGGAATTTTACCCCATGTTATGCTAATAGCAGGAATCTCAGATTTTAGCAGTGCCCTTTTTATCCACTCTCATTTTGTGGCCCATCAATCTCAGGGCTTTTCTATTGCAGGAAAGGCTGGCAGGACTGATAGGAGGTGAATACACTGGCACCCACTGCCAGTTCTAACCTCACATCAGCATTTGCTTCTCCTCACAGTTCTGCAGAACTTCTCCAGCTCCATCTCCAGCACTGCTTCTCCCCAGCCCTTCCCCTTTTGAGGGCTCCTGTCTGACCCCTGCACTGCAAGGGCAGCTCAGGCTGTGGTGAAGCAGCAGCAGCCAGGACCCAGACAGGACAGGGTAACCAGGCATCTACAAGGGAAGCTAAAAATGACCCCTAAATCAAGACTTCTCCCATGGGAAATTCAAAAGAAAAGTCATTGTTTGCTAGCTGATTGTATCAGCATGATATTGAAAATGCTCCTGTATCTAAATATGAATCTAAAACCTGCTGTGAGGAGTTAAAGGCGTTCCCAAGGCCTGGGGTTTGAAATGTTTGAGGGAATAAAGTCCTTCAAACTTTATTTCCCTGGAAATACCTCTACTCCAGAGCTGCCCCTGACTGTGGCGATCAGACCCAGGAGGGCATGTCCTAAGCTGAACCCTTCAGAGCAGTGCCTGGGAAAATGGGAGTAAATTGAGGGCAGAAGAAATATTACAGAAAAATCAAGATAAAGCCTCCTTCATCAGACCTGACAGCCCTTTCCAACCCAGGCAGGCTGATCCAAGTGACCTTTATTAACTTCCAAAGTCTCCAGGCCACCCTGTCAGCCCAGCCCAGGATCACCCTGGCCAGACTCCGCTCAAGCTCCCAGCCCTGACCTTTGCTGTGCCTGTCCTCCCCAGCCATGCCTGCATCCATGCCCCACTTCCCCCAGTCCCAACAGGTTTAAGATCCTTTCAGGTGTGAAGGGATTGCACACCCAACCCTTAATGTCCTTCCAGGAGCAGAAACTAATTCACCTTTTCTTGTGCCAAAGGAATTTGCCACCAAAAATCCAGAAGTTTACCCTGACCTTGAAACAGCAGCTTTGCAGCAATGATGTACTGGAACCTGAGGGGACATACAGCCCCAAGAAGAGACACAGGAAAGGGTTGAAAGACTCAAACCAGAAGTGAAAATAAAAACGGTATACAAAAAAAATGACATCACCTTTCCTACTTAAACCTCTTGAATCTCTTGATCTTTTGTTGCAAACAAAAACCAAAAAATGAAAAAAATCTTGCTATAGATGTAAAAGCACTAAAACTAAAGCAGCACCTCCCCTTGGTGCTCCAGCCACCCCTGCAGAGCCCCAGGCCCCTGCAGGGAGCAGGAACCTGTCACCACTGCACAGCCACCCAACCAAACGGATGCCCTGCCCAGGAAGGGATCTCGGGTTTGGCTGAAACATCTTTTATTTTTAACAAACAGGAAACTAACACGTTTTTTAAA